GGTGGATGCCAAGTTCGAGACCTGTGGCAACTACTACAACTCGACGTCGAAGGTCTTGTGCCGCAATTGCGTCGTGGTCCCAGTGTTTCGTCGTTGTGTTTTTGTGATGCGTTCTTGTTTCACGTTTACAGACGTTTTGGTCAGGGCAACGCCGGCAAGGCTGGCAGCGTGTGGGAAGGGGGGAAGGGGGGAAGCGGGGATGGGGGGGCAGCAGGTAAAGAAGCCGCGCAAGGAGGCAAAGAAGCAGCGGCCTGCGGAAGAGGTGTCGATTGGAGAGTGGGAGGGAGGAGCGGGCGGGTGGGAGCGGCGTGGTCTCGTGGAGGCTTCCCACATCGTCGTCTTCGTTGATGTGGGTCTGCGGCTTGGATGGGGTGGGGAGTGTTTTTGCGGCGCGAGTTCTACATTTTTTCGTTCGTCAGGAAAAGGGAACTCCAGGCACGTCATGGTGTCGCCGGAGCGCTTCAAGAAGTTGGCTCCTCGGGGTTCTGACAGAGCTTGTGTGGGCAGGGAGCGTTTTTCTCAGATTGAGGCTTTACGCAGCAGCACGCGAAGAAGAGGCAGGAATGAGGGAGTGTGGTAGAAAGGGGTAGCAAACAGAGAGAGAGAGAGGGAGAGGGAGAGAGAGAGAGAGAGAGAGAGAGAGAGAGAGAGAGAGAGAGAGAGAGAGAGAGAGAGAGAGAGAGAGAGAGAGAGTGAGTGTGAGTGAGAAAGCGAGAAAGAAACAGAGTGAGTCTTGAGGAAGCGCCGGCTGAGGACAAGAAGGACGACGAGGCGTGAGGAATGAGAGAGAGGGAAAGGGGAGAGAGAGAGGGAGAGAGAGAGAGAGAGAGAGAGAGAGAGAGAGAGAGAGAGAGAAAAAAAGAGAGAGAAAGAGAGAGAAAGAAAGAGGAAGTGTGTTTGCGAAGGCGAGCTTTGAGTCTCCTGTCCGTCACCTGCTCGTCACGAGCCGACACATCTGAACGGTTCGAAAGAGATGGGCTTCTGCCCATGTCCTCGGGCAAAGGCACCGTCATTGAGTTCGCCAATCTTCTGCACGTGTGCGATTTTTGTTGAAGCGTGATGCCGCACTGCAACCGCTCCGGCATCCGGACCTGGGAAAGGTCATGGCGAGTGAACAACAGAGTGCTCAATATTGTTTTCATACACTGCTATTCGCGTTGTCCGTGATGTGTGCCACACCACCAACAGAGACAACGAATTTTCATGGGTTGCCTTTTTTATTTCCAGGCGAGCCACGGGGGGCGCGCAGTCGAGCATTGCTCGTGGACGAGCCAACGACAGGTCTTGATGCCTTCCAGGCACCTGGGCCTGCACTGGGCTGTACTGAGATCGGCAGCTAGTCAACGACACTAACGACACCACCATAGATTCAGGGCGGTGCGATCCTTACAAAATAGTATGGTGGTGAGAGTCGAGAGTAGTGTGAGGCCAGCCTAGTCACCGTTTGAGCCTGGGGTCCGGGGAATGATCAGTGTGAGATGCTTGTGCAGGAGGTCGGAGGAGGTGTGCGTAGCACCGGGACACAGCAGACGGGACTTGACACGTCGTCGGTGTTGCACAGAAGAATTTAAAATTAGCAGCTTCAGGGTGCCGGTGTGGTCGACGTCATGGCAGCGTAGCTATAGAATCGATCAGTTTCGCTTGAAAGTGGTGGGTTCTTCTCCGTCCTCTATCAGGCACAAAGGGTCGTGGAGCTGTTGAAAGAGCTTGCGCTGAGCAGGACTTGGTTGATTTCTGGCAAGTCTGCGTAGGACTCCAGCTGCGAAAGACCGTGGGAATTGCTGAATACATGGGAACACGAAATGATAACGGCCCATGCTGTTGAGCATCTCCTTGGCCCTTGTGCCCTGCTCCGCTACTCACTCGGTGAGAGGAACTGCGCATGCGTAACCTCGCTTCATCAGCCGCGAGCCGCAATTTGGCGATGCTCGGGGCCCTACGCGCTTCTCAGTTTGCGGTCTCTGCAAAATCTTCTCCAAATTCTTTAAACCTCCAAAAACTGTTGCTTGTTTTCAGGGTGTGTGTGCCCAACCGCCATCGCGCCGTGACGCAATGGCCGCAGTGACCTGAGGCCTCGACGACACATTGGTTTTGGCACCAGGCCCCGGAGCCGGGTCGAGAGGACACCAGCCACGTGGAAAGCGTTGCAATTTGCGATCTGAACCACTTGTTGATTTTGTCCGAGGCCTTTCTGAACCGTGTAATTTGGGGTAATTTGCCATGTTGGTAACATATCAGTAGATCTCTATAGAAGTGGATTCCCAGAAGAGCTTCGAGCCCTTGAGCCCGAGTTCGAGAGGCGGGCACGTGGTCTTCTACGGACCCGCGGGTGACCTGTCCGAGTACTTCAGCTCCTTCGGCTGCATCAGAAGCCCTGCCCGTGCTTGGAAAACTGGGACATGGCCCAAGACAGGCCGGTTGTTGGCAGGTGTTTTCTGAAAACAGGGCCCCGAAATGCTAGACAGCAAAACACACTCCTCTTGTTTGGAGATCCCCGGGTTGCTCCGCTTTTGTTTCGGATCCGTTCGCTTTGTGGACCTTCACATTATCTCCTCTTTTGGCTTCATCGTTTGTTGTCTTTATCCTTTTGGTAGTTTGGTCATGTCATTATGCTTAACATGTATTTGTTCACGTGTCTTTGATGTTGCCAAAATAGGCATCACGTTAATAGCGTTGCAAGAAGGATGTAGGGAGCATCATCTGGGTAATCAGGTCAGGTCACCTAGCTCCCGTCCTGGCATCCTCCAGAATACCAGAGCAGAATTGGAGTCTCACACAAGGCGTCTGGAAAACATCCTGAACATAGACTCTTCTAGATGCGCGCCGGCAGTACAGAGCTAACCAAAAGCACAGGTGGCCTCGGCTACAGCTGCGCTGATCAAGGCTCGCCTAAACACCCCCCGAAGCCGATTTTCGGAACCTTGGGCAGCTCCACTGGAGTTGCCTTGAGTCTGCGGCTCAAGAGATCAGAGTGTTCGGAAGACCTTGTTGCTGCTACGGGGACAACCAACCATCCCCCCCAATTGTCGAACCCCCCCTCCCCCCCTCTCCCCCCTCCCCAAATCCTGCAGAAAAGTGGAGTTTCGAAGAACACCGCGATGCCAAGACTCCTTGAGCTCGATACCATACTTGAAGCAAGGTGTAAACCCAGCGGAGTTCGTCATTGACCTGGTGTCCATCGACTACGAAAATCTCCCGCAAGTCGCGCAGGAGTTTGCCCTCTAAAATTTCTGGGCTGTTGGCAGCTTCATGCGCTCGCCCACCATGCCCATGCAAAATCTGCTTCATTGAGCCCACTTATTCACATGTGAAGTCCCCTTAATAGTTATAATGGTTCCCCAAAAAGCCCAGAACTTCGAGAGCTGAGCGATTTGGCGGCGAGGACCACAAGCGCATCGAGGCTTGCGCAGCTGCCTGGCGCTCCTGGGCAGGTTTAGGGTTTAGGGTTTAGGGTGGATTAGGAAAGCATGTCACTACATGCCCATATTCAGGTTCTTAAGGTGCGGCAACGCTAGCTTTTTAGAAGGATTCGGCTCCATAGCAAATCTTGCCGGCATTGATATTCACAGTGAATGCCCATGAATGCCTCGCTCCAAGCCGCTAGGAGACCGCTTTCTGTTGCTGAGGCAAGGCCTATCAGTTGGACGAGTTGCACAGCGCTGACATGCCCCGCAGTAAGCCGGCCGAGCAATTTACGAGACAAAGGACAGGTTGTCCAGATGCAGCGTCGAGAGTGTATCCATGGGTTGCTGTAGTTCCTTGGTTCGACAGCAAAATGCCAATGTGACTGTGTACTTATGCTTGCATCGTTCCTTTCGTTTGCGTCATGGTACCTACGCTTGGAAAGGAGATGTGTCGGCCGTACTGTTGTGCTGAAGTTTCTTGCTTTTTGACTTTTGAGGTGGCAGCTTCATGCAGAGCCGACGGGCCACGAGCCACGTGGCCTCCCAGGGTCACATCTTGCAAGACGGTGTGTGCGATCAGCTGAGGAGCCTTCTTCCTGCTTGTGCAGAGATCCAGCATACAGATCATGCGAGATCGTTTGACAAACGCCGCTTTCTTGCATCCAGGCGAATGAGAGTCAATCGTCATGGTGACGAGAACTAGGAGAACACAGGAAACACATTTCTGATCTGCAACGCATTTTCCCCAGAGTCTTTTCGCTTGGGAACAGTCTTGAGCAAAATAGACCCAGTCCGTGTGCAATCTCTCTTTGGAAAGGCATTTCGTTTGCTGGCCACTGCTGGGTTGGCGCTCATCTTTGGGGTGCACTTTGGCAAGTTGCTCGGCGCATCCAGCAGTGCTTCGGGGGGTTTTGTGAGGTGCTGTGTGCCGACAGACACCCTGTGAACAAACGATGCCTTTCAACACAGCATTTAGCAAAAAAAGGCTGCTTTAAGCAGGGTTTATTGGGGGCAGTTTTGGATTCTGCGAGTTGCGGATAGCCCTTTTGAGTCAAACGGCTCCTGGCTTTAGTGTGACGCCAACAAGCAGAGGCTTGATGGAGGAGGCCTCCCGACCGCCAGATCCGTAGCCGCACGGATCTGCCTCCTGTGGCCTGGGTCGCAATTTGCTTTCGTGCCTTCAGGGCACATTCACCACACCACATGCACACCTGAAACCCGCAACTACAATGACGCAAAGCTTACTCCCGCGCCCTGTCCTCCTCAAGTCTGCAGCATCCAGGGCAACCTTTCTTGCAGTACGTTCGCTCACATGTCAGGCCGCTACTAGGCTTTTTGTACAGTGTACAGTTCTCACTTGAGTGTTGTAGCCGTGTTGCCCGGTTCTAGCTTTAGACAAAGTGATCAGCGGCAAGCACGCTCATCTTCTCGAGGGCTTGCCACTTACCCCTTCTTAGAAGCAGTGTCACAAAATTGTTTGTTTGGGTCTGCTGTAGCATGTCTCTGAGGCTGTCATACTACATCTATATATGTTCAATTTTGAGGATCTGTTCCCTGGGGGGCGTGCACGTTCTGAGGTCCTTTGGCGTCATCGCCATGGCATTTCTGGCTATGGCGCGAGCAGTGGACCGGTTTGCCAAGGAGATCTGCCTGTCTGGTAGTTTGTAATCTGATGCACACCAGCTTCCATACGTGTATGCGGGTGCTTGGAGCCATCTTCCATGGAGCTGAGCCCCTCTCGGTTTGCTTGCCCAGTTGTTTCAGCGCTGTGATATCGGGATCAGGAGAGGGCGATCGTGAAGCGTGAGCGCCTCGCTCGATTGTACGGCGGCGGCGTGTACCTGCTCTCCAAGGCTCTGTAAGGGCATGTTGCGGCATGTTGCGGCATGTTGTTACGCCTGAAAGCACAGCTTCAAAAGTCAAGCCATCTCACAAAGAGATGGCCCTTATGACACCAAAGAACTAGCAACAAACCCTCCAAGGCCGTCACCGAGCTCCCTTTGGACGCCCTGTCCGCGGTGCTCTTTGCCGCCATTGTCCACAAGATCTGCGGCCTCCATGCCAGGTGTGACCCTGCAAACCCATAGTATATACATACATTATAATACAGCTGCCTTGCTAGGCAGGCAAAACAGGCAAGAAGTTCTGGGAGACTCGGCAGGCGCGAAGCGGTCCTCCTGTCCTTCGCGCTCGTGGCTGTGCTTGGCTCAATGGGTTCTCTGGAGGTCCTGAGACCTCTATAAAGGGGCTGCACCCCTCCCTCCCTCTCGCTTCCAGACCGCCGCCTCGACGCTGGGTTTGGCCGTGGGCGCCGCGGCGTCCACGGCCGAGCGCGCCGTGGCTCTGGGAGGCCCCGCGCCTCGGCCGCAGACCCGCATGAGATGTATGGTATGCCTGGTTTACCATAAAACAGCCTGTAGATTCTCGCTGGGCCGCGTAAGAGAATGCACAGGGCACAACAGGCAAGCTGACAGTCCCAAGTAGCTCGCAAAGCCTTGAACCAACTCAGTGATGTGATTTCGTGCATCCTAGGTGATGATTGTGCACATGCTCACAGGCCGGGGAACAACTGCTCACGGGCTTTCAAAAGTTCAGCGCTGGTCGTTGTGCTGCTGGGTGTCACTTTGAAACATGAGTGGTCCTTGTGCTGGGGCAGGCGTCATCGATCCGGCTGGACAGGTGACACGGCTTGTGCAAAGAAGCCAGCGCTTAGGTACATGCCCAACCCATATCTGCAGGCTAGCGGCACCTCAAGACTAACAACCAGAAATGCCCACAACATGGACGCCAACCGTGCGAGTGGATGTAGAGGGAATCGCAGTGCAGCTTGTAAGAGCCGGGAGAATTGCGATCCCAGCCAAGGTTGGCCACAGCGCGAATCAGGCACATGAGGGTTTTTGTGTAGACTAAAGAAGCCACAAAACCCTAAGTGCGAGAGCGAGCACAGTTGCGAAAGGGGCCCAAGTTTAGCCTTTGGGGTGATTCTGAGGCTTGACAATTGAGCAAGTTGTCGCATTGGCCCATTCTGCTGTCGGCCAGTTCATGCAGATGCTGCACAGCCTGTCGCCAATACGTCGAAGCCTCACTTGACAGCAGGTGGCACGCCCGTCGAGGGGCCTGCCCACGCCCTTCCCGAAATCCCGAGACCCCGTCTCCAACCCCCCCTGAAAACCGAGGCTATGCCATCGAAGCCCTCTGCGTGGCAGAGCTGCATGGCTTGGACCCAGCGGAATCATTCACAGCATGTCTCTAAACACAAGCCGTAATTACACAGATTTGCTCAGCCGTCCTCCCGACGTGAAGAAGCACATGTATCATCTTTGATGAGGTTGCTGACATACCTTGCAGGACCTTGCCAGAAGTGCCGCCGATGCTCCGCGCATGGGAGGCTTCAAATGTTCACTGAGATCTGCAGAGTTCCAGGCATCACATTGTAAGGCTGAAGCCAGGGACCACCTCGAGCGCAGAATGATCTCAATCTCAAAATCCCCCTCAAAATCTATGGTTTTTTGTGGGCAAGAGCTCAAGAACGTCAGGCCTTGCGTTGGTCCGTTCCGGCGATGAGGTCTTGAGGCTTCTGCGGGCAAGCTGACAGATGCTGAAAGCAGAAGCTGAGTGTGTGTTTCGGTTCGATCGTTCAAGCATACAAGCCTGTCCTAGATCTTTTAGACTTGCGCAGCTGGCTGATTGACGAATTCAGAAATTACATCACCGGCCCGAGAATTTCATGACCACGAGGATTTTGCTGCATCACTTTCGTTCAACAATGATGACAGTGCAAATGTTGCTTGGGTTGCAGGGCCTGTGGCAGAACCGTGCCCTTTGAAGCTTGTGGGCCCCCCTGCGCCAGGCGCCTTGGTGTCACCAACGACTTCGAGAGTTGTGCGGATTGGTTGCTGAGGCAGCCGCTATAGAATGACTGCCTTTGCAGTCAAGTGATTGCGACAATCCTCAGGTGCATCATGTCTTATGGACCTCGGCTTATGCGCCGCGTGCTGATAATGCTGTCTAGCGGCAGTCTAGCGGTGAACCCCGGGAACAAGTCGCCAAAGCATCCCAAACATTTTCGTCAGATGTGGGATCCCTGATCAGTGAGGAATGTTTCAGTGGCTCATTTCATACACATGTATGTATGTATTGCACGGCACAGTATGTGTGTGTATGCACCCTCAATTACACATATTATATATATATACATGTATGTGTATATATATATATATATATACATGTATATATATATATTTCATTTGCATACATGTGTCTACAACATTGGTCTTCCTGAATTCGTCAGCATTGTCGCCTAAAGCCCCTGCCTAAAGATTACAACGCTGGCACAGCGCGCACGGATATAGTGGGTGACAGCTTTCGAAGAGGCTCTCGGCGCTGCATCTTCTCGTCGCCGCCGTGGCGCTGGCTGTGAACGCGCCCGGCCGCTCCCGACCGTGACAGCCGTGTCGGCAGCCTTGACGTGTAATTTGATTTTTCGGGAGCTTTTGAAGGCTCGGCATTTGATTCGGAAGCTGGAAGCTGTGAATAATCAGGTTTGGGGTCCTGCTGGTGTTGCTTTCTGCAACTGAGAACCGCGGCAACATCTGCAAACCCGAACCCAAGGGCCCCAGGGTACACAGACATTGGGCGGTGCATCATTGGGGCAGGGGGTGGATTATGCTTGGTGCAGGGTGGGATGCCGGAATACCCCTCAACGAAAGACCGAGCTGCCACAGTGGGCTCGGGCCAGCTCTGGGGTTGTGCCCGAAGGGTTGCCGGAAAGAAGGTTGGCTTGATGGCTGGAAGGGGCTGCGCAGGCAATCTGTCGTGCTGGTAGTGCTTCAATTTCGTTTCTCCATGCAAGAATCTTCAAAACTAAGCTCCAAAAAATGAAAACGAACCGCGGGAGGGAGGGAGAAATGGAGAAGGGTTTCCCTAAGAACCTGTGACACCCAAGCCGGTGTTACTCGTTTATCGGGGCTGTCTTATGTTGTTGTAACCATGGCGAAAATGATGTAACGAACCAGGCAACAGAAGCAGCATGTAATGCAGTTACCGGTCTGCTGGTTTCTTGCTGCAAGGTGTTTCGGCCAAGTTGTTATTTGCTCAAGTTGGTAGAGGGCCTCCTTTGCATGCCCAGGTCAATAATGTGTCCTGGTTGGTGAGAGCGCTGGGCAGCACCCTGCTGCCATCGGATCACTTCGCATAAAATGTGCTTGTGTGAGCGGCGGCATAAACCACATCAGCGTCGGCCAGCCTTGTGGGTCGGCATGTAGCCCATCTCGCCCTGTGCATCTTCTTCTCGCGCAGCTTCTTCTTTGCGTGCAGCAGTTGTTGATGCTCTTCTCTTCAGTTTTCTCCCACCATATCCTCATAGTCTTAGCCCGATGCTCCGATGTGTGAGTTTGCAACAGCCCCGTCGGAACGCAAGAGCAATGATGTCACATGCTGTGTGGGATTTGTTTACGGGGCATGCGAGACCACACGCAGCTTGCAATGGCCAGCTGAGGCCGTCATCATGGAGGTGGCATCGAAGCTTCCGATTGAACGTGCGGAACGCATCGCAAAGGCCTTGCTGCCAAGTCGTATACACGGGGACAGTTCAGTTTGTGGCTCTTGAGCTGAGTTGCATCAGGAACCCCATAGCAAGAGTTGACATAACAGCGTGCAGAGAAAGGGCTTCACACAGAGGCAAGCTGAATTCTTCGAATTCAGCAGCTAAGGTTTTCGAGAAGATCGACGAGAACAGCGATGGTGGCATCTCCCCGGAGGATGCGTTTTTACGAACAAGAAGCTTTCAGTTTCCTGCTGCCTAAAAAGCTCCAAGCTGAACACCTACGGTAGCTTGCACCAGGCGCAAGGTCAGTCTTGCCAATGTGATCCCCCCATGTTGCCAGTGGAAGGAGCTGTCCCGGCTCTTCGCGCAGATGGGCCTCAAGGAGGGGCGCACTCCTGGTCCTTCTTTGTCTTCTTTTGCGTGAAGGGGGCCAAGACCGTCAAACATACCAAGGAATCACAATCTGAGCACAGCGACGGCCTCTTTCACTTACAGGGCCTTTGGAGTACGCGATACAAGAAGACCTTGGCTCCATCCTCCATCCTCCATCTCCTATACTTCGCTGAGGGGGGGGGGTCGATTCTTCTTCGTGTTGCATCAATTTGCATCGACTGTCCCCGCCTTACCTCTCATAGCATTGGGATCGTCCCTGCAGTCCAGTTGGCTGCTCGGAGGGTGGGAAATCCGGATTTGCCGAAGTCAACCGGCTTGGGGGACAGAGCTTCTACCACACCATCGACACCCAAGTTCCCACGCTTCAGGGCCGAAGGTCCCTTTCCTTGTAGCCGACTCTCGATGCCGCCACAACCGGGCTGGTATGAAGGGGGCACAACAAATCGCGCACAGATGTGTGGAAAATGCCTCTTTCCAGAGGACAAGGCCCTTCAGAGCCGGGCCTTCCAAGCGCCCGGAGCCTCAGAGAGAGAATTCCTCTTTCTGACATTGTTTTGTTGGGGGGGAGGGGGGGGGGGGACGAAAACCCGGGGGCTTGCGGCTTTGAAAAGCCGCAGTGGGCTCGACTCTCGGAACGAGGCTGGACATCAACGGGGACGGCGTCCTCTCCTTCAGCGAGTTCGCAGCGGGGGTGCTGCCTGGGCCTCGGAGTTCCGGCTTGCTCCTGGGGCCTTCCACCTGAATCAGGTTTAGGATCAAAATTAGTAAAGGCTGCTTTGGGCTTGGAAGCTCCAGGGTTCAGGATCAAAAAATGAGAATGTGCTGCTTTGAGCTTGGAAGCTCCGGGCCTTTTCTTTTAGGCTTGCTCGACTTTGGCCCAGCTGCCTTGTAGATTTCTGAGATGCCTTCCAGGAGGTATGTGCGATTTCTTTTGTCAGTTTTGTGCCGTTGCGGGCGCGGAAGGGTGATCAAGGGGGGCCTCTTAAAGAAACTGTGAGAGAATCCAGGATCGCAAGGTGTCCCCTTTATTTGGGGGCATAAAGGAGGGCGCATCAAGAACATCCCTCCTCATCCTTCTTCAACCTCAGGCGAAACATGCCATCTGACTGTACCCAAAAGAATACAAAGGGCGAGAGCCGAAACTGCCACGAGGACGGTGTACACCGATCTTCTGGAGGCCACGGCATGATCCATGATGAAGAGTCAATGAGTCAAGAAGCGATGCAAACTTAGCGTTGTTTGCTGGCCACTTAATATCGCTCCCGCTCCCTTGCGGACAGACCCACACCGCGCGCGGCGGGCCGAAGCAAACACATGTCACTACGTGCAACGTGCAGATGATGGGATGATGTGTTGAAGTGAAGAGTGCAATGAGTGCAGAAGCGCGCCATGCTCCTTTTGTCAGGTGTGAGGATGTCAGCGCATTTGAGGGCGATTGTCGTGTTGGCAGGACCGCTTCCTTGAGCTGTTCCGACGGCACGATGTCAACGGTGATGGCATGTGCCTGGGCTTGCAAGTCTTGCTGATGAATGCTGTCTGCGTGCCCTGGAAAGTTCTACAGCAAGTTTCCAAATGTTGCGCAGCTGATTGACTGGCAAAAGCTCGGCAGTATGCCGATTAGTACTAGGAGCTTAGCCCTTGATCAAAAAGACACAACAACTAGAGCAGCAGGTTAAAGCTAGTTAAGGTTCGTTTGATTGGTTTACCCCTTCCCTATGCTTTTGGTGAGCTTCCCTTGTATGTGTTTGTGTCGTCGTTTTCTTTGTCTTGCTTTGCCCTGATTCATCAGCGCCGCCCTGCCTTCTTGAGTGCCCCTCGTCCTTGTGCTTTCTCGCTTCGATGTTGCAAACTGCACAACTACTGCACATGTGTATATTTGACATGATGTTTAGGAAGACATGCCCACAATGCCGCGCAAGCGAAGGCTGAGCCGAGCGGAGTTCGAAGCCTTCATGGAGAAGGCATCATTTTTCCTGCAGCAAGGATCTGACTGGCTTAGCGCGGAGGATGGAGCAGTTCCCCCACCGAAACATGCGAACAGCACGCCTTTGCCGAGTGTTGCGGAACACGCTTTCCAGTAAGGGGACCCGCAAACATGTTACAAGACTTGAGCTTTCCGGTGACATGGTGTTTGGCTGCATTGCTACTCTAGAGGGAGCTTCTACAATCACTGCTAGGTCTTGCCCTTGGCCAACCGCAGCGTTCAGCAAAGCCCGGCTCGGAGCTCAACCCGAAAAGTACACCACGGGACAGAAGGGATCTCAGAAGGGCTTCAAGGGCCTATTAAGGTTTTTGTTGACGCACCTTTCTTTGGGAAACCCCCTGCAGTGGCCAGGGACGCTCGTCGTGCGTCCTCTCTTTTTTTTCTCGACGCTCGCAAGGGATGTCTAGATCTCACAAGTCCAGATGCTTCTCTGTGGGGCATGCTCAGCATCAGCCCAGTTCGCATAATATGTTTAATTGTTTGTTCCCTTGGCCGTTTTTGCCCCCTTGCAGTCCGTCTAAGGCGGAAACCATCACAAACATCTTTGGTCACGAGGAGGACCTCATCACATTCGAGGACGCCGTTTTCCCCCCAGAATTCTGCCTCAAGCCACACACACACAAGCTTCCACAGAGTTGCATGAAATTAAACCTAGAAATGCTAGAGCCTCTCGCACTTTGTGGAGGAAATGCGGGCAAAGCTCCTGCCAACAAGCACAAAGAAGAGGCGGCATTAGTTTCCTCGTGGCAAGGCTACGAGGGCAGCCAGTCCACGCAAAGGTAATGTAAGAATCCCGAAGCCCGCCTTCATGACCTTTAGATTTCACTTTTATAGCTAAACTTGCCAATATTTTAGGAGGTTGGCCACGATTCACTCTGATCTGGACGCCAGATGCTCAAACCCTGACTCTGGCTCTCTGTATCACGTGACTTGAGACCGAAACAGCTCTGCAGCGAGTGCATGTTTGCTGAATGTCTCCGGACCGTCTGTGTTTCAGAGGCGAGATGCTGGAGGGGGGAATTCCTAGATGCTTTCGTTGGTGTAGTTAAATGTCGCTTTGGGTTTCGTGAGCGCGCTGAACCATAACGTGAATTCATGCCAACCGCCTCCGGACGCTGCATTTTTAAGCTTGCTGGTTGGGGAAGTGGAGCTATCGCACATCCTTCACCCTTGGGCTCTCAGCACGGGCTTGGCAGAGTTCCACGCGGAACCTGCGCTTTCCAAGTTACGAGATTGCCCCCGATTGCTGGGCCAAAGCCTTGAGCTCAGGGCATCGGCAGAGCGGGCCGCACTTGAGCCGATCCGAAGTGCTTGGTCTGGCGCACGAAGCGCGAGCATCTGTGAGCATCTGTGAACACTGTGCACGCCGCCTGCCGAGGTTCGCCGCCATGGGCGACCAGCATCAGGTCCATGTCTGGGAGAACACGTACATCATGGCGCCGAAGGCAAGAAGGGCACGGGTCAGGGAGGACTGGTGCAAAAGAGCGCTGAGGAGTACAGCATGTTGTGGTGGTTGGGCTTTACTTGTGCAGCTGGAAGTGAGAAGCTTCCTGACACTGATCACGGTCGCTGGAAAGACATGGCGCCACAGGATGATGAGAAGATGCTGCCGTCGAAAGTAACGGCTGTCATCAAGAACGTCATGGAAGGCTACCTGCAGGACTAAGGGTTGAATCATGTGATGGGTAGCTGGCGCAGGCAGCATTTTCGTAGCAACCTCGATGACCAGCCACACTGCACACTTTTTGATGTTGTTCTGTTGTTGTCACAGGAACCGATACGCAGGAGCCACAACCTACAGTAGCTTTATCAGTCCCCGTAGCTGGTTGCAACCTGAGCAGAGTCTGCAGTGGAGGACAAGGAGTATGCCGTGGAGGATGCCAAAGCCTGGACGTTGGACTTGAGCAACGAAATCAAGGCCTCCCGTGGCTGCAACGTTGAAAGTAGTGAATTGAAAGCGTCGTGCCTTCCCTTCTTCACGCTTCACCCCGACATACCCCGACATTCGCAGATGTGCAGGTGCTTGACACGTCAGTCGTGAGTGCATAGCCGTTGCATCAGGCCTCCGTGAAGCAAGATCTGAATATCCCTCGCTACAAGATCATCGTCCAGGACCGTTGTTGCAAGGGCACATGAACTCTTCCGGGTCACAACCCCCGGCAGTCCTGTCAAGGCCACCCAATGTGAGAGGAAGCTTCACCCCTCAACCTTCGCCCGTTGGCCTTTTTTGGCTCCTGCAGCAGCCATCTCCTTCCCAGATCTGTGTCTGGCAGGTAGTCATCGGCGAGCAAGCTTCGCAGGCATCAGTTCGTCGAGAGTTGGCTTTGCCCATTCTCGTGCAAGCACTCCCTTAGACTCACAGTCTCGCTGGCAAAGGACTTGGCTTCTGAGTGCAGACTGTCTTCCGCTAGAGCACCGAGAGAATTAGTTGGCTGCAATGCCAAGCAGCGGTAGGCAATTTGACAGCTCGGCGCATCCTTGGCCGCCCTGACACTGGTGCAGGGCATTCGGGTGGCTTCAAAGTGTTTGTGGGATGCTGGCCCCTGAGCACACGGAGAATGCGTTAGTGAGCCGACATGTGATGTAGCAGAGTTTGGCATGCCCGCCGTTTCTCTCTGCAGGCGTGCGTCAATTCCGATCTTGGAACGGGTGACGTGGATTGCCACTCCCGAGGTGAACTCGGATAACTGGGCCTCATACACCTTTGAGAACCAGTCGCTGTTCGCAGTGGGTGCGAACCTTACTTTGACCCTCGAAGCATCGCCGGGCATAGCCGCACTATCCTTTGATTACCTCCTGTGCCTTTGGACTGCAGAATCTCGAGGCATGGTCTTCGGGTGCTACTACGAGTAGATGCGGTGCGGAGGTCCGAGGGGGCTGGTGGGCTTGTCTCAGCGTTGTGTTCCGCACACGTGGGGCAGTGACTTCAGTCCATCTGTGTGCTTCTTGTTCTCTCTCTCTCTCTCTTTCTCTCTCTTTCTCTCTTGCTCTCTCTTTCTCTCTCTTGCTCTCTCTTTCTCCCTCTTTCTCTCTCTTTGTCTCTCTCTCTCTCTCTCTTTCTCTCTCTCTCTTTCTCTCTCTCTCTCTCTCTCTTTCTTTCTCTTTATGTATGTACATAGAGGTATCACAGCAATGTGCTGCTGCCAAGAAGGACGTGTCTCTCAGTCCAGTCTCCGCTTCCAGAAGAGCCCATGTCTGTCATCTGAAATTCCGGCGGAAGTCGCCTGCAGTTGATCTGTGAACCAAGTCTTGTTCCATGCTGCAGGTTGACAACGATTCACTCTGAGCTGACTGCCAGATGTTGAAAGACAGACTCTGGCTTGTATATTGCGTATGCAAGACTTTGCATTCCAAAAAGGCTCCCTGCGCGATGTGGGCCTTGTTAGAAGGTGCTTATAAATCAGACTGGCATGCTCCTCAAAGCTCATGGGTGCCAAGAGTTTGACCGCAGGGGGAACTTAAATCAGCTCAGGCACAAGGCTCGGCATTGATCCTTCACTTGGCCAAAGCGGCGTTGCCTTGGGCTCCCAGCACGGGCTTGGCAGAGTTCCACGCGGAACCTGCGCTCTCCAAGTTACGAGATTGACCCCGATTGCTGGGCCAAAGCCTTGAGCTCAGGGCATCGGCAGAGCGGGCCGGACTTGAGCCGATCCGAAGTGCTTGGTCTGGCGCAGGAAGCGTGAGCATCTGTGAGCATCTGTGAACACTGCGCACGCCGCCTGCCGAGGTTCGCCGCCATGGGCGACCAGCATCAGGTCCATGTCTGGGAGAACACGTACATCATGGCGCCGAAGGCAAGAAGGGCACGGGTCAGGGAGGACTGGTGCAAAAGAGCGCTGAGGAGTTTAGCATGTTGTGGTGGTTGGGCTTTTACTTGTGCAGCTGGAAGTGAGAAGCTTCCTGACACTGATCACGGTCGCTGGAAAGACATGGCGCCACAGGATGATGAGAAGATGCTGCCGTCGAAAGTAACGGCTGTCATCAAGAACGTCATGGAAGGCTACTTGCAGGACTAAGGGTTGAATCATGTGATGGGTAGCTGGCGCAGGCAGCATTCTCGTAACAACCTCGATGACCAGCCGCGCTGCACACTTTTTGATGTTGTTCTGTTGTTGTCACAGGAACCGATACGCAGGAGCCACAACCTACAGTAGCTTTATAAGTCCCCGTAGCTGGTTGCAACCTGAGCAGAGTCTGCAGTGGAGGACAAGGAGTATGCCGTGGAGGATGCCAAAGCCTGGACGTTGGACTTGAGCAACGAAATCAAGGCCTCCCGTGGCTGCAACGTTGAAAGTAGTGAATTGAAAGCGTCGTGCCTTCCCTTTTTCACGCTTCACCCCGACATACCCCGACATTCGCAGATGTGCAGGTGCTTGACACGTCAGTCGTGAGTGCCTAGCCGTTGCATCAGGCCTGCGTGAAGCAAGATCTGAATATCCCTCGCTACAAGATCATCGTCCAGGACCGTTGTTGCAAGGGCACATGAACTCTTCCGGGTCACAACCCCCGGCAGTCCTGTCAAGGCCACCCAATGTGAGAGGAAGCTTCACCCCTCAACCTTCGCCCGTTGGCCTTTTTTGGCTCCTGCAGCAGCCATCTCCTTCCCAGATCTGTGTCTGGCAGGTAGTCATCGGCGAGCAAGCTTCGCAGGCATCAGTTAGTCGAGAGTTGGCTTTGCCCATTCTCGTGCAAGCACTCCCTTAGACTCACAGTCTCGCTGGCAAAGGACTTGGCTTCTGAGTGGAATTGTAGAGACGGCATGATATGGCCAGCTACACGAATACAGGATCCGCCTCTAGAGCACAGGGAGAATCAGTTGGCTGCAATGCCAAGTAGCCATAGCCAAGCTCTGAAATTCACAGCTCCGCGCATTTTTGGGGCGAATGAGCACCTGGGCAGCCCTGACACTTGTGCAGGGTATTCGGGTGGCCTCGAAGTGTTTGTGGGATGCCGGCCCCTCAGCACACGGAGAATGCGTTCGTGAGCCGACATGTGATTCAGCAGTGCAGGCGCGATCTTGGGACGGGGCGAGGTGGTTTGCCACATTTTGCCGCATTTTGCCAGACCGACCCCCAAGCCGAGGTGAACTCGGATAACTGGGCCTCATACACCTTTGAGAACCAGTCGCTGTTCGCTGTTGGTGCGAACCTTACACGGCTGATGACCTCGTTGGTTGTCATATTGGGAACATGTGAGGATAGGAAATGGACCTCAGCAGCTCCGATCCGAACCAACTCGTGAGCTCTATGCAGTCAAACCGGAGTTGTGGTCTCCATGTCTCTATAACCAAAGCACGCCAAGAGATTGTCAGGCATGGTCTTCGGCTGCTACTATGAGTAGATGCCTTGATGCGGAGGTCAGCTTCTGATGCGGGGTAGTCTCTCTTCACTCTACGTGACACAAGTAGTGTGGTCCGTTAAGCGCAGCCATGAATGATAATTAGCATCATTGTCCTTGATTGCCTGGTCTGCGAAAAGGCGCGTAAAGATGTGCTTCAACCTCGAATGAAAAAAACATGGGATATAAAGATTGGCAAAATGTGGCAAAGGATGATGGGGATAGCCCGCAGATAGCTGGGACAGTTGTTTCACTCTGGCAGCCATGGCAGCCGGGAGGCAGTAAACCGGTAACCCATTCAGATTCAGGATGATCCTTGCAGAAGACTCGAGCACAATACCTTGTTCGCACGTTCCCTCATGGCACCTGTACCGCGGCAGCCAAATTAGGAACCAGTCTTCCTTCATTCAAGGCAATGGAAACGGAAACCGTTCCATGTCTAAATTCACTGGGGTTGCTCCCTCACCCTCGAGAATTCAGATTCGTAGGCATTGCGAGCTTGATAGTCAGATGCGTTTGTTGTAAAGGCTGTTGTCAATGCACTGGATCACTGAAACATGGGCTGGCATTCTAGCAGCAGCGGTGTGGCTACGAATGCATGTGACCCAGCCTTTTGACCAGATGCCCAGGTGACCCACCTTATGGGTAAGCGCAGCCAGTTTCTGCCTGTATTGTTTACGGAGAAGGTGCACAACATTTTTGCAACAGGGCAGCAAGCACGGCAACATCAAAGACCAACGTCACCACCACCACAGCAGTATTCGGCATGATGGACTGCTGCGGAGTTTTCTTGTCAACTGTGTTTTTTTCATATTCGTATGCATAGTTTTGGATTGTGTATGTGGGTTTCTGGCTCTATTCTACATCACTGTCGGTGCCAGCTGCTAGGAAGAGCAAGTGCATAGCATGCAGCGCATCGGCGAACAGGACTGTAAGAGCTGCCAGAGTGGTCCGCAAGCGATGGCCGAGACTTGGTGTCCTGCGCCACGAGGACGGATGAAGCTGCCAAGAAATGCTGGTCATGAATCGAGGGAGTGGGCTAGGCGAATGAGGGAGGTTCTGCGGTCACTTTGAGCCTCCTGAGAGCCCGGCCTACTCTTCGTGCCCTTGCGTAGCAAGACCCTAGGGGATGGCGCGGCAGAGAGAGAGAGAGAGAGAGAGAATCGAGTCATGAATGTGTGATCAGTATGATCCATGTTGCCTTCAAAACCAAGGGCCAAGGGTGCAAGTTGCACAATGCTAAGCCAGCATCCCGAGAGTGTGAGCCACTGCATGCTCTGAAGATGTTCTTTTGTGGGACACACCTACGATCGGAACCGTGCAGTTGGAACTCCCTTTACTGTGCAAATGGTTCTGAAGCAGGCCAGCTTTGACAAGATGGCCACGCAGCCTGATCGGATCTGGTTCATCTTGCAGGCACCGCTGCCGTGCCGCTGTGTAGGTCTCTGCGGGGCTTCACTTGATCGCATGTTTCTTAGCAACTGCTGGCCACGCCGACACTCAGAGTGGCAGATGTAGAGGCAGTTGGCTAGCCATCGTGGCCATGTCTATCTGCTCACCTTCTATAGCATCTAGCATGAACTGGCAGCGAAATGGCTAAAAATCCAGCATGTGTGAGCACGGGCCCTAGCACTGGCGTTAAAGACTGCAAGGTATTTGTTCATCGTGTGGCTTTTTTTGGACAGTGTTGTGCTGTGGCTGAGAGGAGGATGTGTGCCGAAGAGTGTCATCCAGCTCCATCTCCTTCGGGTAGCCCGTGTGCGGGAATGTGCCGGCCTCAGGGACACAGAGACTGCGTGTCTCTGCCAGTCCAAATTCCAAAACGTTTAGTTGCCCACAAGGTGCCTTCAGCCTGGATACCGGGATCGCGACGAGCCGGTAGGTTTGCAGCCCAACTTTTGAGAACCTTTGAGCGCTTGCTACAGTACCAAGTTGGACCAAGTTTAGGGTTTTGGGGCTTGGATCGCGCAGCGTGACATGCAGAAGCGAGACTCGGAGAGGCAAACAATTCAATTCGGAAGCCCAGCTCCAACAATGGAAGATCTTATTGGAAGTAGATTTATGATCTTCCCGTGATCTGGGACGGTCCTTTCCTTATACACGACCGTGCAATAATATAGAAACCTTGCACGTGATCGATGCCTGTAACAAAGCATGGCGTGCTACAGGCGTAATCTGATGCAGCGCCCTTTTTCACGGCGATAGGGACTTCGCACAGGTTTGCGACATTCGGGAGCTGGGTGAGAGGAGGCATTCTGTGTAAGTGTATCGGCCGGAAATCACGAAAGGCCATTGGAGCTCTCGCGGTCATCCTTGGTGACGCTACTTTGGAAAACGATACATCGTTGAATCCGGCCAAGAGCTGGAGACCCCTAAGGCCCGATAAATCGGGGATTGAAGGCGTGCAAGGCCTCCCCCCATACACAACGGGCTTCAGGGAGCCAGAGGAGACGACAAACTCGGAGTGCACCCGCATGATGCCAGGCGGGCGATGCTGCAGCAGGCCGCGACGGAGCAGATGCCGCCAGCAGCCGCATCCAGCGACCATGGTCGCAGCATGCACCAGCATGTACAGTCAGGAGCCTGCCAGCGTGCTCGCCAGAAAGTGGTGGAGCAAAACCAGGCTATGAACGGCATGGTGAAGTGTACTAAATGGGAGCAAGCTCTGGTGGTGTTGCCTGAGCTTCAAGAGCAACGACTTGAACCTTCGGTGGTGACGTACAACACACTGATCAGCGCATGTGTCCAGGGTGCACAATGGGCACTGGCACTGTCGTTCCTGCACCATCTGCAGCAGCAGCGGCTTGCAAATGTGATCAGCTTTTCGACAGCGCTGAGTGCACTGGATGCAGCCAGCCTTTGGATAGAGGCCGTGGCCCTTCTGATGTCGATGGGCGGTGCCAGTGTGGAGGGCAACTCGATGACATACAATGCCGCCATCAGCGCCTGCTCCAAGGGCATCTTGCCCAAACCATGTTCTTTCCTGTTGACTTTTTTTCTTGCACGTGCTTGTAGTCACTGCAAGAGATTGCATGCTCGATTGAAGGCTTCTGCCTTATCAGGTCACGCATGGAGTGTTGCTTTGCTGCTGCTTCACGAGCTGGAGATGGAGAACCCGGAGGTGTCCAGGTCCATCATCCCCTACAACACAGCCATCAGACACCTGGTGGCATTTGCCAGAGATGCCATCATGTGGCCAGTAACCCTGCAGATTTCTTGCCAGCGTTGGCATCGTGCCTTCCCTTAAGCCTCACACCCTGCAGCCCTCGTGCGGCACTGGGTCGCCTACCCCACATATGAGCCTTCACCAAGCCTTGCAGATTATGATTCTCAGCCCACAAAGCCCATCTGACTCCTAAACCCTCCAAGAGACTTTAAGAACACGTACAAAACCACTGCAAACGGTTCCTCTAAGATGCAGATGTTCAGGCGCCTGCGGGAGCAATGGGAGTTGGGAGCTGGCCATAGGCCTGGCGGCCAGCCTCGCTACGAGGAGCTTCCTCAATGATGCCTCCTTTCCCCCTGCTTCGCATTTGTACAATAGGTTGAGGACATGAAGTGAGTTGCTTCTGCCACCCGAGCGCTAGGCAGAATCCCAGATCCTGCTGTACATGCAGTGGTGCAAGACTGGGTGTGTAGGAGGAATGGACCTAAGGAGCATGAGGCTTTGCAGTGGGGCGCATCTCGTCGGGCTCATGCTGAAATCATTGCGCAGAGGACTTTGCGAGTCGACATCGTCACCCAAAACACCCTGATCTCTGCGCTGGAGGGCGGGTGTTGGCCAGAGGCACTGCGTCTCTTCAGGAGGCTGAGCCTCTCCTCCCTGCAGCCGACCACGGTCACCTGCAGCTCCATCCTCAAGGCCTGCGCGAGACTTGGTACGGAGCCTGTATGGGGGTAGAAACGTTTTTGAGCCGCAATACAGACACCGAGTGAGACTACAAAGCGGAGCACAGATGCAGCTTTTGAGAATGCTCGAATATCAAAGGAAACAGCTTGGAGGTCAAATGCTTCAGACCACAGCCAGGCTACCAGCCGTGGCTTTTCTAATCAAAGAGACTTCTCGAGCGGAGGGTGCAGAGATTCAGAGGAAGAACTCATTTAAGCAACAGCGAGCGAGTATGTATTTCCATGCGAACTGCTCAGCCTCGTGAGACCTCAGATGTGCCAAAGGACATGCCTTTTGGAGCTTCCAAGTACTGATCATTCTGCAGCAGATCGCTGTGAGATCATTTTCCGTCTGGCATCTCTTGATCCGATTCTTGTGCCTCCCTTCCTCAGAGTCACAGCAAGGACCAGCGAGAAGTGGCATCAGGCCTTGATGTTGCTGGCTGGCATGGAACTCCAGGATCTACCAACCAACGCGATGTCCTTCACCACGGCCATGAGTGCCAGCTGCTCGCCCTTGTTTCGCGTGTCTATACGCTTTGTAGCTCTTGTTCGAAGCACAGTAAAGCTAGCCTTTTTCACCCAGATACACGCATGTTATGAGCACGGGTTGCGATCTGGCGGTGTATGCAGAAGCAAGAACTGTGAAAAGGGCCGTGAGCAAAGAAGAGCATCTTCACAAGCGTCCCAACAGCGACCTAAGCCCATCACCAAGACATGTGACATGCTCAGTAGACGATGATGGCAGCATTTCGACTCTTTGAGGTACCTTCATTGCGATTAAGTATCAGTGACTTGACAAGGTGCGCGCAGTCTTCAATGGGAAGCTGCATTGGCCTTGCTGAGAGACATGAAGGAGCAGACGGCACCGCGCAGCGTCCCTTGCAAGCAACGCTCCAAGTCTCGCCAGCAAACCCTAAATCCTACAAGGGTATTAAGGGTATTGGGGGTGGTCCCACGGGGGTCAGCCAGGCGGGTGGCAAAATAAGGCTATTGGGCTTTAAGAAAAGAGTCGCGTGCTCTGAGGGTTGGAAATAGGGCCGACTGAGCAGCTCGGCCTTGGGTTCCTTTGAACGACGGCGAGAGTGACTGGATCATTGAACTTTGTGGGGGTCCCTTTAAAGGGATTCTATTCTGTTTGGGGTATAGAAGGGGTAACCCTGCTTTGGGAGATACCCACATGTAACGAAGATTTTCCAAGTTACCTGCAATGGCTCTCCACTCGGGTGCCAGCCGGAGGCAAGACGGCAAGCACGGAATCATTGCTGACATCGACACTTCAATGAGTTTGAGAGCCTCTCTGAGGCTTTAGGGTTTAGGGTTTACGGAGTCTGAACCTTTTCTTTCTCTTCGTAATATCCGAGTCGCCACGTCGCTCTCAGGTTTTCGCGTACAACGCCGCCATCGGCGCATGCGAAGGTCATGGTCTCTGGGAGCCAACTCTTCAGCTCATGGCCTCCCGGCAGCGGCTATGGCGCTATGGCGTCCTCATATGGGGGTTTCCGAAATTAGGAGCACCTTCATTGTCAAAAGGGAATCCTACACCTTTCATATGGGGTCCCCATCCTCCTCATCCCTCTTTGAGTTGTTGCATGTTAGCAGCATGCGACGGAGCGCAAGAGGCCGAGCTCTTGTCAGAGGGCATGGAGCCGGATGCCGTGACCTATGGGACAGGGAACCGCGGCCGGCACTTTAGCAGGTTTGAGCTTTCGAGGGTGGTATGCTATCATCCCGCTATGGGACAAGCGCAGCGCCACGGCTCTCATTCCGGTTTCGAAGGCCCAGAGAGGCCAAGTGGCTCTTAAGGTTCGCCAGCGCCCTCTAAACGATCGATCACAATGTTAGAAGCCTCTCAGCCTCCAGTAACTACAGCTTCAGGAAGTACACGAGTACACGTACTTCCGCTCGCAACTCTAAAGCCGTCTAGGTCTACACCGCAATACCACATTCCAACAGTATACGCTCTCAGTAGGCAACGTGCAAATTGAAACCTCCCTAGCTTCCAAAAGCAAACCGTGCTCTGAGAACGATCCTTCGACTCCTAAAAAATCGACGACAATGCCCTCCCAGTCCTGCTGCACAACTGGCCGTCCCCCCAACTTCAGAACTAACCCCCACACGACTGATTGCCCTGACCAACCACTCTCAAATGCAGCTCCTGAGGATTCGTGCCTGTGCTAGGGCCGGACAATGGCAGTGGGCGCTCTGGCTGCTTCCTGATGCAAGTCGAACCCCCCCTCGTAACGCCCCTCAAACACCCCAAAGCCCAGAAGTAGGAGACACAAACGACGTCGTTTGGAGTCTTTTCAGCCAAGGTTCTCGCTGGTTGGTCACCAAGGCCCTGGCTTGAATGTTGTCACCTGCAACTCGCTGATAAGCGCCATTAAGGACAGTGGCTTGGCTTTGCTAATCATGGCCACAGGGAGTTAACAGATTCTGAGCCTGAGACGGCTGCAGCCCCCTTTCGTAGCTGACATAGCCTTTGTTTGCTGCTGTGATTTTTTCGACGCCCGCTGATCTTAATCTTCTTCTTCAACACTTATCCGACCATCGAGGTGGGTGGCAACAAGCTCTTGCTGTACTGGCTGATGTTCAGGACATGCACGTTGAGGTGCACTTTGAGGATGCAAGCGTTCTCCTGAATCAAGATCCCTTGCATCGGTTTAGGGTAAGTTTAGATCGTGTATTTACGAGGTTTTAGGAGCTTAAAGCAAGGCTAAGATGGCTTGCGAGTGTCAACAAGCACTTTTGTTGGGGGGGGGAGGGGGGGCATCACCCTCTCGGATCCTCTCCATGTCAAAAAGCCAATGATGTCCTAAGCAAGTGCTGTTGCTACTGAACTTAGCATCTATAGTTGCTCAGCAACTGCACTGCCATGCTGGCAGTTTGCACGTACGTCCCGTTCAGAGTTGCTGAGTGGGAAGCTCCCAGTCAGACCTTGGCGATCACAGGTGGATGCCATCACCTACAATGCCTGCATTAGCGCCTGCGAGAAGGCAGGGATTGAGAGAGAGTGTTCCCGAACCTTCCCCTCCCCCCTCCCCCCCCCTGACGCGGTTTCCCTATACCCTAAACCATCCTAAACCCTAAACCCCTAAACCTGCGAGTGTGAGAGCCGAAGCCCCTAGACCTGAGCGAGTTGAACCCTAAACCCTAAACCTTAAAAACCTTTTGCATGAGGAAAAACAAGCCCAAAGTGTTCTTGAACCTTTGGTTCCTCAGAGGCGGCCAAGTGGGAGGAAGCCTTGGCCCTGCTTGGGGCCTTGGAGGCTTCCGAGCTCCGGGCCGACGTGAAGCTTGGCCTCAGGGTTATTGAAGGGAGCCTCCACTTTGGGGGGGGGTTTACAAAAACACCTTAAATGAGTGGGGTCCCTTTTCAGGGGATCCTACTTTGGGAGTCTATATCAGGGGCCCCTTATTTGCGCAAGCCCACCATTTTTCGGACTCGTAAATGAGTGAGTCTGAAAACTTCTCGTTTTTCATGTTCGTATTAGTCTTTCGAAATCTCTTTGGTTTTTCTTAACATAGCTGCCATGGCATATTCGAACTTGAACCGCCACGCTGCGATATTGTGCGTCCAACTCACCGGAGTCAGATGAGTCCCATAGCTGGGTGCTCTGTGCCGTAGTTGTAGCTTGACCGGTCATCCATGCACAAAAGTTGTCCACTCGAATCTCTTGTAGCTGCTTGGCGCTCGATACGCCAGAAAAAAAACCATCGGAGAGTGCTCTCGTTGCAGATGTCGGAGTACAGTCTCTGGATTCCGGTGATGTCGGTGCAGTTGAGGATCTCCTTCAATGCTGCCATGAGCGCCTGCGAGAAATGCGAGCGCTGGGAGGAGGCTGAGCGAACGTGCAGACACATATATGCAAACCGCAAAAAGGCATCTAAGTCCTGTGGAGACCCTGAGGTCCTCTGGCTGCTGAGGGAAGTTCGCCAGAAGTCGATTGAGCCCAGTGCAGCTTGACGACGGGCCCTGACCTGCTACGATGATATCACAGTCCACAACGTGCTTTCTCTCTCTCTCTCTCTGTCCCTCTTTGTGTCTCGCTCTCTCCATCTCTCTCTATGTCTTTCTGTCTCTTTCTGTCTGTCTCTCTCTCTCTCTTTGTGTGTCTCGCTTTCTGTCTCATACTGGCCCACCAGAGCCCCGCACTAAAAACCACTTGCAGGTAGTCACCTACAATGCGGCGATTAATGCCTGCAAGGGTGGAGGTGCGGCCACGGCATTGCCGAACCCGACCTGTGCCTTCCCGATAGTTTCAGAGCCGAGTCTCGTAGTCTCGTAGTGTTGCAGCCATGTCCCTGAAACGCCTTGGAGGTCATCCGCACGTGCCTTGGCCCGAAATCATACCAGTCATTCTGGCGCACTTGTTCCGCTTAGCCCCAAAGTCTCCTGAAGGACGCAATGCAGATGGAAGCGCAATTCTGTGCCCGTTTGGGCACATGGTTTAAATATCATCGCGAACCTCACGCGCTTAGGATAGCGAAGAACCCCAGCGAAAAGCCAAACCCTGCAGTGTTGCCACTCTGCTTTAACCCCAGTGACCCTCAAAAAGCCCGAAGTGGATTGCGCGAGTGAGCGTCGGAGCCCTGATCAAGAAACCTTTTGAAGCCCCATCGAACCCCTTCCCTAAACCCCTAAATCCGAAACACTATACCCCAAACCCTAAACCCTAAACCCTAAACCCCAAACCCCAAACCCCGACATACAAAGCCCCTCATAGTCGGAAGGCCCTGGATCTCCTCTGGGACTCCGAGGGCCTCCGGCGTCCGGCCTCGTTTCTCTGGGCCCTGGCGGCGGTGGGCGTTTCGGACCCAGAGGCCCTCTCTAGGGTTTAGTTTAGGGTTTAGGGTTTAGGGTTTATAGGGTTTATAGGGTTTAGGGTCTCAGTCACTTCCAGGTTCAAAAGGGCTTGGGGCTTAGGGTTTAGGGTGGAGCCGGGATTCCCGTGTTTTTCTGGGGGAGAGAAGCAAGGGGCCGCCCCTTCACATAGCGGGAGGCTTGTTACATTACACAGGTTGCTGCTGCCAAGCATCCTTGTACATTTTGGGGAAGCGACACGCCAAAGAGCCCTGACGTTCCCACTGAGTCACGCATGAACGCAACACAGGCCATTCACGCAGCTTGCGTGGAGATGGCCAAGTGCGGGCTCAGCCGCGAGGATGCCCAGCCGCAGCCCAGCAGCCGCAGCCCAGGCGTTTGGCCTTTGTAGTTCTGTTGTGATCTTCCGGACAAATCGAGTCGATTGTGAGTCGCTGTGGTGAGTCGCTCTGTGTGTCACACTGAGGACGTGTCGAGGGTCCTCTGGTCCATGGAGATGCTGAGTGCCTGGAACCCCCGCATCTACAGGCCAGGAGTCAGCAACACCTCCCCATGACCCGATTTCCCAGACATCGCCAACAGCAGCCCATCCTTAGCCATAAGCCGCATGGCATAGAGCGCTTTCCTTCCTGCAGCATGTGCACCGGGAGACAGCGAGTGTTCTTGTGGATGCGTGCGACTCCGTACCACGACCGTTTCCGACTTCGTACGTCAAAGCCGCCGGATCTCAGAAACTTCGAAATGGGTTTGTTTTTTTTTTTTTTGGGGGGGGTCTCAGGTTAAAGAAGGGCACACGGGCTGCACACCCGCGAAACATACCCCGTAACATACCCCGAAACATAACCCCGAAACATAATTACCCGAAACATACCCCCGAAACATACCCGCGAAGCGTACCCCGACCCCAACACCTGTCCCGCGCCTCCCCATTAAAATGCAAACCCAAATCTGGACTCGCTCGTTCAACGGAGCGTTATACAAGCTTTCTGATGGGGTCTGGTTCAACCCAGGCACTTAGAAGGTGCTCATTTTCCCTATAGACCCTAAACCCTAGAACCGGTCCCACATATGCCAGCTGTGTGAGTCGCCAACCCTTCCAGCTGCAGCCTCAGGTCCATCAGCCAAGAGTTCATGCAAGAAATCAACAGCACTGGACTCGAGGAGCTTGCCATGGTCGTGCCTTGGGCTTCTCGTGGAGCCGGCTTAAGAATGCTCTTTCAGCTCTCTGCTACATCTTCTCCTAATAGGCCCGGAAAATCTGCAAACTTGTCCTACTAGGATTCTCAGGATAAGGACTAGAGTTCAGGGCAGGGAGTTCCGAAGCCCCCCCAAAACAGAACCAAAGTTGAGGCCTGGGGCCTGGTCTCAGCCGAACCCTCCGTGCTCACGGCGATCCAGCACAGGGTGGAGAGGAAGCTGAAGAACTTGAGGCAGCAGAGGGCGAACTACTGTAGGTCATTTGGGGTCGGAATAATTACTAATATTATTCTATTCAGGCCCCTATATTATTTGGGGATGAGATCTCACAAAGGCAGTGTTCTAAGTCTGCGTGGAAAGTCATATATGCCTCTGATTCAGCTGTTCTTGAGGACATGTGACTGTGGTCCTTTTAGCTCTTTTTTCTTGCACGCCACCCTAAGAAGGTGGAAGGCTTCTATGTGTAAGCTCCGTGGCCTAGATTCAGTCGGAAGTAGGTATTTCATGGCACCCCTGGCGTACTTTCCTCAGTTCCACCAGGAGATCCATAGCCCCGTTCTGCACAAGTTCTGCACAGAGACTCTTCTACAAGTCAGGGCTACACATATGCCCGAGTGGCAGCACCAAGCCAACAGGAAGAGGGCGCCAAGTCGATTGGTCTTCAACCGCCTGGGCATGTCGGCGATGGGCATCTTGGAACGACATAAGATGTGAGTATATGAGTTCAGCAGTTAGCACAGGGCCACGGCTGGGGAAGACCCTAAAAGCACCCTGCGCAGCACCAGCCCCCTGGGAGCCTCAGTGCCTCAGGCATAGCAGGTTCCTTTGCGCTGGCGGGAGAACTGCAGCAGAGCCTGAAAGCCTCGGTGCAAGAAGCGCTGCTGGAAACTGGAAGGGATCTTGACAGAAGCTTGGCCAAACTGGCCCAAACTGCTTGGCCCAAAATGGGCTGAGTGTCAGGCGCTGCCGCTGCTCAACTCTCCCACGTAGACAAAAGTCTCTCTTAAGTTTCCGCTTTCTCTGCACATTGCTTGTGAATTCACGCTGCGATTCCAAGGAGGCGCCTGGCAGAAGAAGACCAGCCTCAGCCCCTTTCTGCCCAGCCTCGAGCTGGCCTCAGTTCTGGGTGTTACTAAGGGTGTGAGAACTGCACCAAGACTGCATCATCTTCTAGTGCTCATAGTATCTCCTTAGATCTCGTGGTGCAACATGGCCACAGGCCTGGAATCTCACTCATCAGCCGGGAACCCTGCCGCAGTCCTGCCAATTTTGCCAACATGGGCCCTTCAAAAGAATACAACGCTAGACAAAAAACGTACAACAGTCCTCCCGGGGTCCGCCTGGGGTGCTCGTTCCGATTCGAGAAGCAAAAACCATGCCGAGAGTCCTTGAGATCTGGAAGTGAGTGTCCAGTTCGCAAGTGCATAGATACGACTTCAGCAAGTGGGGGAGCCTGTAGGGTCTGGAACCCCCCTCTTTTGCTTGATGTAAGACGCAGGTTGGGGTAATGGGGAAGGATTGGCATGCTTGTCCTTGATGTTTAATTAAGATCCACACATATGTTGATACTTTCTTTTTACGTATGCTCCGGTTGTTGGTAGCTTCAATAATCCTCTGTTGTTTATACATGCACACGCACGCATGCATGTAGGCGTGCGTGCGTGCGTGCGTGCATATTACATACGTACGCATGTAGGGTGTGCATGAACGTGGGTGGCTCCATCGCTTCGGCACTTGGTGCGCCGTACTTGTCTTGCTTCAGTAAGGAGAACTTCAACATTTCGGCCACGGTGGTGTGGGACCGCTCGGAGGGCGCCGTCTTTTCCAAACCACCTGGTTGGGAAGTCTATGGAGCCCACACGACATACCAGCTGTCACTCGACTGCAGTTTGCTTGGCACACTTAGATCGCAGGGCTTTGGTGCTTTAATGTCAGGGTGGTCGCCCAGTATTCGATAAGCTGCGGGGTACTGTGCATGTAGTACATGCTTGCATCTTTGCGCTCTGCTCCTTTGCACTTCTGTGCATGCCGGCAAGTTCCGAAGGCAAGTTCAGTCATCGAGTGGTTTGGTTGCTTCTTGTGCTTGCCGTTAAGTGAACAAACTTGCTCGTGTCCCGCTTTAAGATCACGGAATCGAAGTGGTTGAGTTGTGTTCATCTTTCCCAGTACTCAATATACTTGTCTTGTGCCATGTTTGCAGTTAGCGCTTGTGTGGGACCGTACCCTTTTCGCGACACGGCAACGTCTTGCTCTTGCTTATACTTTTGAATGCATCCACACCACTCTGGCTGGGTGGTTTCAGAGGATAGCTCCCTCAAATTAGGAGACCCATCTGACAACGCAAAGCAAACATACCCAACTGTGGCTCGGAAATCTTCAGGTCATCGTTGGCTGCCAGCCTCTTTGGCCACTGGTCAGCAGAGGAACGGCGCTGTGAACCAGTGAACAGACACCAATGTCATGAGGCTTGGAAGACTTGGCACAAGCCAGGCGCTTGCAGCCCAAGTGCGTTTGTGGTAAATCGAACCATAGAGCCAGTAGCTCTCCGATATGTTCCGAGGCAACCTCCGGATCCTCGGTGATGCCCGCCACAGGGCAGATTTGGCCAAAAACTCCGAACTTCCCACACCCTTAACACCCTTGCTGTAAGCTGTGCTTATTTTGCACCACACATCGGAGCTGTCGGTCGTCAAGCGTGGTTCTGCGGTGCGACGTTGTCCCCCTGCCCCTCGCCCTATCTCTGGACCCGAAGATGGGGTATATTTGTTAAGTTAAATAACAGCTCTTGAGAGAAGTGTCTTGCTAGCCCCTACAGCCTGAGGTCACAACTTTGGCTTCCTGCACCGCTTGGACGTGCCAAGTTCAGGCCAGGCGTAGGGGGCCGAAACTTTGATGCCCGGCTTCAGGCCTTTGACATCCAGTGAGCTGTGCCCTTTAATCTGTCTTGGAAAATCTTTGGAAAGCTTGTGTGACAACAGCTCGGTGATCAAGTTGCAGGGGGGGGGGGGAGGTAGTCCAGCGAAGACAGAGAAACGGGAAAAATGCCCCATTTAAAGAAATGCCAGGGAGGCCCTGAACTTGAGACTTTAAGACTTCAAGCGCGTCCTGGCCCTTTTGATTCTATTCTATAAGCCTCGAAAGAGCTTGAGCCGAAAGCTAAGCCCCCACCACAACCGGAAGGCGAGAGTGCAGAGGAGTTCCCGTCGCATTGGGTAGGGAATCATGTGCCCCCCTGCGCCCCCCTGCGCCATGGAATGGGAGGCCTGATCATGTTCGCGAAGACCTATGCTGCCTTCTACGACTTGCAACTGCAGTTGCACTTCGGGACCTTCGCTCGTGAGTATACCTGCCTGGCCCATGGATGGCTACCGTCTCGGACAAGTATCACTTTGAAGGCCTGGGACATTTGAGACAGCTCTTGGATTCCCCCCCCCCCTCCTTTAGGAGTCTGGCAAGATGAGCCGAATGATAAGCCTGTTTGTTGTCATTCATCCCAAGAGAAGGTTCGGGTTTGCTACAGCTGCGTAATTAAGTCTCTCTGTTTCTCTCTTTCTCTCTTGCTCTCTTTCTCTCTTTTGCTCCTCTCTTTCTTTCTTTCTTTCTCTCTCTCTCTCTCTCTCTCTTTCTCTCTTTCTCTCTCTCCCTCTCTCTCTTTCTCTTTCTCTCTTTCTACTTCTTTCTGCTCCATTTTGCCCGCTTCACGCCAAACATGGATGACCGTAAATCCCAGCCTCAGGGCGCAGAAAGGGAATGGAATCGCCAATGCTCCCACAGTATTTGAGTTGCACAACGCTTGCGCATCACGGCTTGTCATCAAAAGGTTCTAGGATCTAGTTTTGGCAAAGGGTGGCCGCCTTGACGACGCGCAGCTGCATTCGGCTTTGTTTGAACGGATCGAACTGATCCCCGGCATTTGCCGGTCGAAGCCATCCCACGGCTTCTCCAAGTAGCTGCAGCCGTCATGAAAAACCTCTGCAAGAATCTTGAAGCGACTCACGAAATTCCAACGAAGGGTTTGAGCAGCTGTTGGTCACAGCATCCAGGGATGCTGCTGGCCTGTGGTTGCCAAGTTGATCAGAGCGATGAGTTTTGGGAGATGGTCTCTGTGTGGCCAACGCTCCAGATAAGACAGCTCCCGTGTAGCACTCCTCCAGATGGGAACAGGGAACGGCGTGCACGCAAAGATGTGTGTGTGTGTGTGTCTCTCCTGCGATTTAACCAATTTAGCCAATTTAATCAGCATGCTCGTTTTGATCTCCTGAAGATGCTTCGAGGGTTTCACAGGTGTTTCAAAGCGCCCTGCAGGTACAATCAGGCACGACCGGCCTGACAAGCTCGGGAGGGCGCGGAAAGTGGAGCCAGACTCGCTTGAGACTCCTGGGCTGCTCGCTTGCAATTCTCGATCTTCACATCGCTTTTCTTAGGCATTGTCGGGACCTGCTGCGCACTGCTGGTGGCTGCCAACTTGTTTTTTTGCTGAAGATTCACAGGTCTGCAGTATCATAGCTCGTTGTTGTTTGGGAGCATGGGACACCATGCTGGAATTAACTGTGTGTGTTTGTGTGTGTGTGTAAGACTTCATCTTGGAACATTGCAGGGCTTATGCCACATGGGGATTTTTTACACCGCGCGGGGCGCTTCCAAGGTTACCTGTGCCTCCCTGGCGCTTCCTGCGGTGCTTTCAGCCATGTCATTCTGCAGATTGCGCCTTGGCGTCAAGGATAGCGCCAGGCTCGAGGGTTACTAGCGGCTAGCGTCGGACTACGAAGTTTGGAAGTTTGCTGTGTTCATCGCATCTCACCAATCACGGGGGGGGGGGGGGGGGGGGGAGGGTTTGTCAACTGTTGTGCTGTGATGGTGTTCGTGTTCCAGGTCCAGCAGGTTCACACAGGATCATCGGGCATTCTGCACGGTGTTCATCTCGATCATCGCGATGTTTGCTTTGCGCAGGTCTCTTTTCATCCGTCTCCCTAGGTGCAGGAAGGTGAGTATGGTTGAGGTGCCTGCTCTACGACCCGACCACGGGAGCAAACAATGTCAGAAGCTCAACTGACTCAACTGAGGTCACTGGAAGGAAGCACCAGATCAGGCCAGCGGCTGCGAGATACTAAGACTGGAACGAAAATCTTCGACCTCTACGTGGGATGTAAACTTCTTACAGCTTTCTTAGCTTCCTGAAGTGGATGGTCAATGCTAGACAGGCCTATGCGGCAGTACAGGCATCGGCGCCTCCATAAACCAAGGAATCACTGAGTGTAGAGCAGATTTGATCTTTGGACTTTGCAAGGAGCCACATGGCGCACATCGGCCACCCGACCGCCCGAGACAGCTACACAAGCACCGTGACATTTGAGGAAGATTCCGCGCTTTGCTCTCGAAACTGGCTGCACAGACACCTGCTCAGCTTTCGAGATCAAGCCGGCAATCTTCACCAAATCCATTCACCGTTGCCGCCAGACCTGCGCCAGACTTTCGAGATGGCATGTACAGTCAGGCAAGTCAAGAAACAAAGACCGCCAGCAACATCCCGGCATGCCATGCCCAATTAAGTGGTACCGTGACCAGGACAGTATATTGAAAGTGCTGCAGGGCTTCATTGTTCTTAAACGATCCACACCCAGACTCTGAATCAAAGGGATGGCTTCTTAGACCTGAGCCTTAGGCTTCTGATCTTTTGTGGCGCCACTTATTTTTGTGCATACACAAAGTTGAGGCCTTCCTCGTGCTGAGTCCACGACTCGGTAGACCCATCCTGTTGGAAGGCTGTATATGCGTGAATTCAGTTTTTGGCTCGGTTTGCGTTGTTTGTCAGTTTCTTCCTGCCTCTTGAGCCATGGTCTGGACTCGACAGGCAGTCTCCATCTGCCACGTGCAGCGCGGAAGAACTATGAGTCTATGAGGGAAGCAGTGCTGAGGAACAACCTCCACTGTCGGGTGAGTCATTAAGACCTCCTCTTAGATCTTCTGGGTTCGGAAACCTTGCTACATCTTCAGTTCTTCCCAGCTCCCCTTGAAAAAAGCTCTTTGCCTTTGCAGCACAATAACCTTCGGAGGCGTCATCTCCCGAGTCAGAAAGCCAAATCAGCTCCCCCTTGTGTGGGCAAAAATACTGGGGAGGTGAGCAGAGCGGCTCTGTCCGGAGCTGTGTGGAAAGCAGACCATCTTAAGGTACTTGATGCTCTCCTCTCACGTCATCCCCGTGTGCCAGGGCGCACGGCCAGCGGCCAGCTTGGAACCTCAGCACTCCAATCTCATCACACACAAGACCACAGTGCTGCTTTAGGTTGCCATCTCTCTTATAGTGCCCCTCCCGGCGCCACCCGTCCCTCAGAACTCGTGCTGTTTCAACGTTCAATGGTGTTCATATGTGTTCATGTTGATTCTCACATCTTGTATTTCTCCTGCTGCCGATGCCTGCTCCTGCTGTTGCCCTCCCTGTTTGCTTCTGGGGTCGGGAAGGTGCGCTCTGTCAACAACAATAGAATAAATACCTGACTGTCCTGCAAGCTGCTTGCTCGTTGTGGTTCGCTAGTCAAGGACCAAGCCGACGTGGACCAGAAGAGCCAACATGACGGTGTTCGGGTGCACCGCGCACACCTACTGGACGACGGCACTGGCTCCTCGCTCGAGAACAGCACCGATGCTTGGGGGAAGAAATCCGTCCCCAGTCCACCAGAGCCACCACTGCGGCGCAGCTATTGCTGGAGCGAGGCGCGCATGTGGGCGCATGTGGGCGCATGTGGGCGCATGGGGGCCGGGAAGTCACGGAATACACATTCAGACTCAGATTCGAACGATTTGATCTCAATTTTGTCGGGTCGTGATCAGTGGAGATGTGGCCTCACAGAAGCCCATGGCTGTTGAGAGGTGATGAGAGAGCCCCGACAAAACAGACACGGCAGCCACTGGCAATCAAGATGCGATATTTGGGGGGTCCCTGTTTGTGTCTCAGAGCCGAAGCTCTTCTTGCAGAAGTCACGAATCGGCTATAGCTGTTATAGACTCTATAGTAGACGTTTTAGGAACGCCGGTTTCACCCACATGAGGGATGATAAAAACCCCCGGTATTGAAAAGTAAAGAGAAGCGCCCCGAGATGATCAGATGTGCGTTTTGCTTGATAAAACGATAAGAGTAAAAAAGAACGATAACGTTCAGAATGCTGCTAAAACTCGAGAGAACGATAAGAGTCAAAAAGAGCGATGACATAATTCAGGGATATCTTCCGGGATAGGGGGTTTTCACGCAACCTCACATGCCCTTCAGTAAAGTTCAGCGCGGCGCCTGACAAGTCATGTCCTGTCCACCAACCAATACAAGCTGGGCAATATCAGTGGCTTATGTGCGCAATCTTGAGATGCTTTTTGAAACTCCATCGACATGTGCTCACGAATTCTGAAAAAGTAAACTGCCGAATGTCACTGGCCTTGCAAGAGGCTACCAGCCCTTCGCATACTTCACCTCGAAATCCTAAGAAGAAGAGGAGAAGAAGAAGCTTCGGAAAGCAAGCCGTTTTGTTGTCAAGACCTTTCATGCAGGATGACTTTGCCCAGTACGATCGACGCAAAGCGCAGGTCGGCAATGCTCTCACGGCTATGGGGGTGAACCTTCGCTCATCGACTTACTCATCGCTTTTTGTGCGTGGGTTGCTTTTGAGCTACGCTGAAAGCATGACTTAAAAAGTATTCCAGGAAGTCCGGAGATGTTCGGGGGGAAGGGAACGATCCTTTAACTTGTAATAAGGCAGAAGACCATGATGGATCCTCCCGGCTGCACTTTGCGGCGGCAGGATGCGCCGCGGCTCTCACTTCCTTGTCTGAAGGCCCCCCATGGTACCTTACTACCTCAGAGCCCTTGATGTTGATGCTTTGGTTTGTGTTAGGGGCTCTTGCTGCAACCTGACATTTTCTTGTTTGATTTGAGTGAAGTCTACAGTTTTGTTTTCGAGCGGGGCGGGTGGGGGGGGGGGGGGAATAGAGATGAACATTGAAAACAGATGAGGCGACAGTCCATCGACATGTCGGCGTCGTCACTGCTCCACTAGACCGGGGCTGGATTGGCTTCATCCAGACATGGCAGAGACGCTACGGCTGTTTCCAGGAGCGCGTTAATTTTAATTCGTTTTTTTGTGACATCGAGAGCCGAGTTTTTGGTTTCTTCAGGCTTATAAGCACCAGACACCTACCTCTCGTGTAGTGCCAGATTGTTCAGCTGCAGGTCGCATTGAAACTGCGGCTCAGCGCCCCAGCTGGAGGACAATACATGGTAATTGTAAAAAAATAATGGTAACATTTTGAAATGTGTGGTTGGAAGCTGCCTTTGTGTACGCGATGTTTGTGGTGGGGTGTGCGAAAGAGAAAAGCTGCACTTGCTCTCGCAAGCCCACAACTCCTCCCACTCCAAAATACACAATGTGCACAGCAAAGGGTCGTTTCGTTGGTGATCCGGGAGACCGCTCAGTACATCCAAGTGGCGTCACAGGCCGCTGCGCCTTACTTGGGCCCCATCGGGCTGCCACTACGCCGCTTTCGAAGACTTTTACTCATCTTTGTCTTTGTCTTTGTCTTTGTTCCAACTCTGAAATATGCATGTTCCTCGGGCCTTGTATACCGCCCAAAGCATGCCTGTAAGCACAGCCATAGTCTCTGTAGTCAGCTCCCTGGCTGTTAGACTTAGCGCTGCGCAACCCAGGGTCCTGACGGGCGTCTCAATTGCTCTGCAACACAAAGAAATCCAGGATTCTGATTGCAAATGGCAACCTGTTTTCATAGTTGACACTGGAGGGCTTGCCTGATGGATAGGAGGCGCTTAAACGTTTGGCGTTAAGGCGGTTAAGAGGTGTCGCCATGAGAAGTGTCGCAGGCTCGCAATTTCGAGGAGGGACTCCTGAAACAAGAGAGGGTCAGTTCTACGTTGCGCATCACTGATTGCCCTCGAAAACCCCGCCAAGCCCTAAGCGAAAAGAGTACCCTGTAAACCCCAAAGCCTACCTAAAAACACCCAAACCCTATGTAACCCTAAACGCCTGAACACCCGAAATTCTAGGAGAGAGCAACAATATAAGGACCTCAAGCGGGAGCTTGCAAACCTGGACCCGCACTTGAACTTCAACGAACACCAGGCTTTTGGGGTTTAGGGTTTAGGCCCCCAGGCGTACAGGGTTTTAGGGTTCAGCTAGGGCTTAGGCATAAAGGTTGATCAGGGCTTAGGCTTTCGGGTTTAGGCCCCTAGGCTAATCGGGATTCAGGGTTCGGGGGTTTTGGGTTGAGGTCATGACTCTCGGGTTGGCGGCGCTGTGAGTGGAGGGTTTGCGACACTCTGGCCACGAGGTCTGTGCAAGACTATAAGACTCCCAGGTGGCAAAGGGGGCCTCCTATGTTCTTGTACATTGTACAAGGGCTGTTGAATGCTTTCTGTTGCTCATTCTTGATTGATTAGAACTTTGCCCGGAACGCCTGGGACAGGGGACGCCTTTCGGGTACTGACGGTATTGATTTCAAGGCACCGGGTTCGGCCCTACTCTCGGGGGGCTTTTCAAAGAATTTGATCCCACCAGCATTCTCATCGCGGGGGGCCGCAAGTACCGAACCAGCATTACGTGCTTTCCTTCAAAGATGCATGCTTCTGTGCCTTGTCTAGGTGATCCAATGCCAGATCAAGCACGCTCGGTTGGGCCGCTTTACGACAATCATCTCCTTCGTCCAGGGCGCAGCCGGGCTGTGTCAGAGTTGGGCCACGGTACGTGGGCCTGTTCGGTGCGGCTTACGGACTTGGAGTGCTTGGTTGGGGTCGCAAATGATGTATCCTTTGAAGTCCCCTCGCCCCCCCCCCCCCCACCCCGCCCCCCCATGTCCACAAGTGTGAGGTTATTGCCACGACCGCCGGAGTCGCCACTGGCGGCGCGAGCGTGGCGGTCTCCATCGCCCTCTCCATCGGCTCAAGTATGACTCCAGGGTCCAGGGAGTCTAAGGGCATGAGTGCTCCCTTTCCCTACCCCAACCGGCCCCAAAACTCTTTAAAGGGGGCTGGCAACTGCAACATGCACATCCCCCACATCAGGAGCAACCATATCCGTTCAAAGCATTGCGCCGACCTGAAGAGGAGACTGGAAGAGACTTTGGCCGCAGGAAGTTGGCCGTGTGACTGTAGGAAGCTGTTTGTGACCACTTGCCATGGAACTGAGTGGCCAAGTCTAAGGCAAACTCTGCACACGCCGAAACTCTCTGGGAAGGTCTTGAGGACGTGACGAATGAGCCAGGGAGCGAGTAGCCGCTCAGTAGTTGTAGAGGAGCCGTAGACAAACGCGGCGTCCCTCTGAGGAGTCTGCGCTCACTAGTAGCCCTACAAGTCTAGGTGCGCCATGTTGTCGCGCAGCGCTGCGCCTTTCACCGAGTCTGCTTCAGCAGCCATATATGTTGTGTCGTCGCAGGCGCGGCCTTGCAAATGCTGCTTGCTATCTGTGCTGCGGCACCGAATCCTGAAAGCAACATCTAGGCAGGGCAGCTGAGCCAAGGGCTGTTTCTTCTCCCAAATTTGTCAGAATCTTGAAAGTAAGGTTTATTGAGTTTGTTCTGGGGTTCTGCAAAGGCGGGTTCGGACCTGTTGAGGAGAGACCAGAAAGAGATCCCAACCAAGAGTTCCCACCCAGACATTCTGGCTGCATGCATCCCTCCACTTACGCGTCACATGCGGTCAGAAAATCCTTTCGTACGTCAATTCCCTTCATCCAGAGCCCACAAAATTCGCTTCTGGGGATGGACCATGGGATACTGCTCTAGTAGAACATGCCGAAATGGAAGCCTAGGCGGTTGCTTTGGGGATGGGCATTGCGGACAGCAACTACCACATGGCGTGTGACAAAGCCGGGATGTGATTTCATGCAGGTGGGGTCCCGTTGAATCCCCTCAGGACCCAGTAGCCTCAGTAGGATGGGGCAGATTCTCAGCGCGTGATGTTCGGCGGACGTGCCCAAGTCCAGGTCGACACAACAGCGGCACCTCGCAAGTAGAAGCGTTTCAGCAAGGAGGGTGGGCAGAATTGTTGAAAGATTGAATATGATTACATTTCTACATGCCAAGCCCCTATTGTTGTAAAGGAGATGAGGGTTCGCAGAGTCGTGAAAACGCCTTCACCCGGAAGATGACCCATGTGACGTGACGCAATGGGGCTGCGGAAGTCGAAGCCAGTCCAGCCGGCGGAGCCTGAGGTACGCTGCGGAACACAACATTATCCATAACATTTGGGGGTGGGGGTGGGGGTGGGGGGGTGGGGGAGGGGCATTCGGTATATCATGTACGCATATACATATATATATATAGAGAAAAGTATATATAGAGAGAGAGGGAGCGAGCGAGCGAGCGAGATTGACACAGAGAGGGAGAGGATGACTCTGCAAGCGGCTGCTTGTTCCCAACCCTTCCAGAGAAGGAGCCCAGCCTCCTGGAGCAGAGCCTCGGGGAGGTCGCCTTTCTGCTGGGGCAGCAGCAGCTGGCCGAGGTGACACATGAAGCAATGGCTTGTTCTTGGTTGTTTGGGATATGTTCCCCCTTGTACGAAAACCGTCCTCAATAGGGATTATAGTACCCCCGAGTATAATCCTTGTTAATTGCTGTTCGAAAAAGCGGGAACATCCCAATTTTGTTGTTCTTAAGAGGGGTGTAATTAGCCTGTCTCGTGCCAGGCCGGCGACGCCTTCTTGCGAAGCCTCAAAGTGCTTGAGGAGCGGAGCTTTTCAAGAGCGAAGGTTCACAAAAAGCTAGCCGCTAGCCAAGCCAAGCAGTGCAAAGGGGAGTGCATGGGGACGCCCGGAAAACAGGAGCAGAAGGAGATCAGCGGCAAAGAGCTGGCTGCGCTGAGCACCGTGCTGCCTGCGGCCTTCACAGCCTTGGCTTGGGAGTCCCCTCCGTTTCTTCAGCCGCAGGCGGAAAACCCTACGAAATAATCCGAAACACCCCAGAATGATGGAATACTATGTTATGTTATATTTTACTCTAGTATACATTATATTATATTATATTATATTATATGATTTCATTTTATAGTTAACAGAGTCCCTCCAAGCCCAGGCTTGGCCGGCCGGCCGTGCAGCTGGCATTCGGGGCCTCGGCACTGGTGGCGAGGATGGACGCATCGATAGCACTTATAAGAGATATGCTATAAATTGAGTTATATACGTATACATGCGTTATGAATTGAGTTATATAGTTATACATGAGTTATATAGGAGTTTTGCATGAGTTATATATATATATATGCATAGCACATCACTTGCCTTTTTTGCTGATTTGCCCACATGGTTCCGCAGGGTGGCGACGCTCGCGCGTGACCAGCCAGAAGCGCTTCAGAGCACCGTCCTTGACCTCCTGCAGCTCTGTGGCGCGTGCCTTGTCGGGAGCAGAGCTTGAGGTAGGGAGCATCTCAGGGCTTAGCAATTCCGCACATCGCGCGACCACGGAGGTATATGTCCAGCGCATGGTATCCTGGAAGCCCGCTCGCGTACCAGACGATCGACAACAACCGGTATGTCCTTTTGCTGGGGGAGATCATGTCTCAGGACCGGTCGCGGAACCGGCTTCTGAAGTGCTTCTCTGGCCACTTGCCCCCAAAATCTCGCCCCACCTGTAGTTCTAAGTGCCTTTTGAGGTCCTCGAGCTGCCGCTGGAGCACCGGCAGGTGTGGGGAGAGCTGGCCGCCAGATGTTCCACGTCGGATCTTTGGACCTCCCAGTTCTTCCTGCAGCAGCTGCAAAGCCTCATGACGGCCCCTGAGCAGCTTTGTGACACTAGTGTGGCCCGATGTCCTGAGCCACTTGTGCTTTCACCACCCCCCCCTCTCCCCCTATGGACCCTATAAGGTGTGGGGCCCTACTAAACCCTAACCCTATATCCCCTAAGCCCTCTCAGGTGTGGCCCTTGCTGTCCGTACCCACGGCCACCATGCTCAGCGGGGCCTTGCTCGCTTCCTGTGAAGACACCTCCCGGTTCGCTGCAGGGAACCAGCTCCTGGAGCGTGTGCTCCGCTTCCAGCAGGCCTCTCTGAAACCGATTCTGATGTCATTTGTTCAAATCTTTGTTGTGTTGTAAACCCCCCACCCTCTTCCGGCACAAAAAACGGGCGAGGGGCCCAACAAATACCTCTACGGCTGAGAGAGCCACGGAAAAGAAGACGAGTGCACAAAGCGGGGGGTAGAGACGCTCATTCGTTCCACTGTTATTTGGGGGTGTTGTGTGGGGGGTTGTTCACCAGGCCTGGCCAAAAGATGCCCAGGGCTGGGAGTGGCAGCGGCCGGCACTGGTGCTGCTGGCCTCTGGGAGACCCATGGCGCCGGCCCACAGCCTCCTGGCCCTAACAAAATTGAGAACGGGGGAGAGTGTCCCCTTTGCCACTCTTTTTGCCTTATGTTCATGTATGCACAAGTATGCACATATGAGTGCGTCATATGCCTCTTATGGAGGTTTGGCGACCTTCTTCTTGGCTCGCCTTCCTGCAAGCACAGCGTTGAGCACAGCGGTGACAGCTCTGAGCGCTTGCCTTGCACGAGATTCCGGGTTCTACGCGCAGTGTGCCTTCACTGCCTTCACCGGAGCTCAGGGCTGTCGCCCCAGAGTGTTTGAGTAGCATTCCAGCAGATGTGACCGTGATGTCATGTCATGTCACTCGTTTCGAGTTGTTGGCTGCGACATCTCAGTGTCTGCAAGGTCCTGTGCCCTCCTTGGAGATCGTCTCTGGGCTTTGCGAGACGCTTTGCTTGGAACTCCTGCCTGTGCACTTCTTGGACATGTCCGTCGCAGACCTCGAGCGCGAGCGGCGCACTGCTCTCCGACAGGCAATGTACCGATCCTGTAGAGCAAAGGATGAAGGTAAGGCAGCACTGACAAAGGGATGCGACGCAATGGGCTCGCAGTGTTTGGCCAGACCTCAAAGCTGTGAAACAATATTGACATCCAAAGCACCCCAAGTGTGGTTGCAGGTCTTGGTGCCCAGATTCTGTCTGGCAATTGGGAGGTGCGCTGCGGCTTTGCCAGAAGAAGCTCAAGTGGCCAGGCGAGGGCGAAGCAAAGCCATGGCCTCGACAGGCATGTTTATCTGCGCTGCAGCGGCTGCTTTAGTACTACGTACCATATATTTGTTCAGATTGTATCGGGCCGAAGCCTTACAATCCGCAATGCCCAAAGATGCCATGCACTCAGACCCTTAGCTTGGCGAAGGGATGCGTGAATTCCACGTTGTGTTTTCACCCTGGTGTCTTTTCTCAGAATTCAGACCGAATCCAGGCCTTCTTGTATTCGTTTATGGAAGCACATGATCTACTTGCCAAGACGGCCGAAATTTGCAGAACACTACAACACGGATCGATTGAGAGCCTTTTGATAGTTTGCTCCATCTGTTGCCATCTGTTCCTTGGAAACGCGAACTTCGGCAAGTTTAATTGGCCTTGGCCAAAGATCGTCACCTGCAGGTTGGCAGAGCATCTGGAGCATTGGGCGATGGCCGTGAGTTTACACGCGGCGAGTGGATCGTCGCAGCCTGCGAGGCAGGCTAATGTTGATTTGTTGGTGCGTGCCCGTGCGCGGGGAACACTTGTACGGTCAGGCGCTGGTTCACCTTCTCCGTGTTCTTCGCTCTCTCCACCATAGCTCGAGAGGCCCAGTTGCTTAACCCTCATCTAATGCTTATACCGCCCTTCTACACCACCGGTGCCCTTCCCCCCAGGTTCAGGCTGCGGGTAAACCAAACTTTTTGAGCAAACTCATGTTTGGTCATGGTGGGTGAGGCTACAGGGTATATGCATATGTAGGGGAAGGAGTGGGGGAAGGGTGAAGGAGACCAGATCCTGCTAGACGCCTCCCGGCCGGAAGCCGAGCCGAACATTCTGCAGCATGATAGAGGAGGTTGCGGGGTTTGTCAGAGGCCGACATTCAGCAGCTTGCACCCCGAGTGCTACTGAAGCTTCTGCGGGCAATGAGCTGCGTCGACATGCTCCGGGAAGACAGTCAGGACACGCCGTATAAAAAAGCAACTGAAGCCAGCCTTAAAGTTGTTTTTCCTGCCTTGACGACCTTTCTGCAGGAGTATCGGGCCATGTGCTTGAGCATCGTTGAGTCTGGTTGTGCCCGGGAGGAGGGTTTCCGGTTGGCCCCATGGTTGCAGAAAGCTGTAGAAGTTCTGCGGCCCGTGGCCTCGCAGAGGATGTCTGCTGCTTTGTTGCATCCCATAAGTCGTTGGACCTTAGGAGCTGCTGAGCACTCTCCGGGAGCTGGAAGCTAACGCAGTTTCCGCAAGAGAGTCTTCCGGTGCACCCTTGCTTGCGGCCAGCTCGAGACTTCACTTCTGGCTAGGGATGCTGGCAAACGAAGTCGTGATCAAGCACCCCATGTTTACGACCATTTGGCCAGCCTTGGTGCGCATGGCCAGGGCGGGAGATGCCGTCGCCTCACGGTCGGTGGCTTTGGCTGCGATGACCTTCACCCAGGGAGGCCGCGGCCAGCGCGATGGAGCAGACGTCGAGGCAAGCGCCGGGGGGGCCACTGGGTTCACACCCCCAAACCCCGAACCCTTATAAGCTGCTGAGAAGGCCATCCTGGAAGCTGGCCTGGATGGCTTCGCAGCAGCCGAAGGTCCCCTGCACATTATATGTGGGGTGATTTGTGCCCTAACGTGTGGCATCGTGTGGCCATGTGCCAGGCGAAGCCATGCTGAAACCCCTGCATGTTCTGGTGGAGGCGGTCACCTCTCAGGACCTGGACTTTTCAAAATCAATAATAGATTAAGATGAGAGCAAGATGAGAGCAGATGTTAGGAGCTTTCCCCTACGACTTTCAAACGGCAATGAATGACTCAGTGCATAATTCCCTTGGTCCTTACATCAAAAATGCTGGCTCCACAGAACAAGTTTGACCTTCACACTATTGTTGATGCAATATTCTTCAGCATGCGCAAGAGACTTGTCAACTCCCTCTCCCATCCTTCTCCCATCCTTCTTTCTTCGCCTCTCCTGTCGTGATTCTGACCCGTCATCGCTCACAAAAATCAATGTTCAGGGCAGCCTCCACGCTGAGGGTGCTTTGTGAAGCGACTTGCCAATCTTGCAAGGACACCCGGGAGGCGCAGGGTTTGGAGAGGCAGCGCTGGATCCTGAAATCTTTGGCACAACGCATCCTCGCCCACCAAGCTTCTTCGCATCTCGGGCAAGAGCCATCTTAGGGTCTTCCAAAAGAGGATCCCCAAACTACGCCAGGCCTTATGATAGGTACCCCTATAGTTTAGGAAACCGAAAGGGCCAGGTAGACATATTGTCGAATGATGAGGGCTGTAGGCCGCAGTCGAGGTTGAGGGCTGGAGGTCTCAGCTTGAAATAAGCGATTAGTCCTCTTGAACAACTGAAAAAACTTGAAACCAACCAGATAGCAAGGACGGAAAAGCAAAGTGGAAGACTTCGCCCAACAATCTCAGAGGGGCCGAAGAAATGACCGCAGCACAGCTGGTCCAAAGAATGTCGACAAAGAGGGGGCTGAAGTACCCCTTTAACACTGAAGTAGTATGCCATGTGATATAACGGCTCCATCCCAGGACCCCTTGCCAGTCAAAAGCTCTGGGTCTCTTTGGCCTTTTCTGCACGGCTGCACGAAGCCTGGATCTGGCACACACGGATGCCATCTACACAGACGGCCGCATCTTTGCTGATAGTTCACTCTTTAAATTTGTATGTTAGTAACTGTTAGTGTTTTGGGAGGGGGGCCAGGTGTGGCACCTTAAAATGTGAGACTTGTTCTGAGAGAAGCATGAAGAGGCCTTCCGGAGCTGCTGGCAGAGCCAGCTCACAGGGAGCTCTGGCTGCGTCACTTGGCTTCACGCTTCGCGGAGAAGCCGCGTGAACAGCTCGTGCCGGAGCCTGAGATCTTCACAGCAGATGGCAGAAGTCTTTGCAGAGCCCAGCGATATAGTGCTTGTTTGGGATGTTCCCCCTTATACTAGACTAACCGCCCTGAATAGGGATTATTGTACCCCCTATCATAATCCTATTTAAGGACTGTTAGTCTAAGGGGGAGCATCCCAAGTGCTTGTACTCATATCTTTAAATATCCTCAGTTCGAACCCGTCTAAGGAGGTGGCTTCTGAAGCGGCACCCGGCTGCCGCGGCAGCTTTCTCGATTGCGGGCCCCACTAAAGAATCGAGGCCTGTTCTGAGCTCCGCGCTGTGACACACCCTTTTGGCTGGCGGTCTGCTGGAGCTATCTGCGCAGCCTCTGGAATCCCCTTTGATGGCCAACTGCAATGGCGCCACTTTCTCCTCTGCACAGGACGAACAGAGCGAGTCGCCCGAGTAGAAGATGGAAATAGCCAGCAGCCCCTTCTGGATTCAGGGCATGTCCCATGCCTGGTCTCAAGCCTGACGTTGCTCGTAGGTACGCATAATGCGTACAAGAGTCATTCCCGACAAGCTTTCAAAATCTCAGCTGTCCGATCTCCATGGCATGCAGGCCCGTGTATGGTTTGAGCAGCAAAAGCTTTGACTTCGACACCCCTGGGGCCATAAGAGGAGCCATAAGGGCGAGAAGCACCCGAAAAAGCCGAAAAAGAGTTTATGTTCCCAAGGCTCGTTAGGTTTTTGAGTCTATTTCGGGTGAGAGATATTGCTTTCAAGCCGGACGGGAATGTTGGTGGGATGTTGCCGAAGATTAGAAAGGCCAGAACATTGGCTGGTGAAGTGTTTGGATGCATCATACGGAGTGTTTGCCAGGTAGGTAGTAATGCTGGCTTATTGTATTGTGTGCTTGTTGTGCGAGGTAGAACTCATCCACAGACCCTTTGAATGGTTTGAACCTACATGATCTGGGCTGCTCCTCATCGGAGAGCGCGATCTGCACATAGTCTGTGCTTTTTCCAGTTCAATGTACGCACGCCAGGCCAATCCCACTTTCGAGAAGCCAGCCATTGACACATTTCATGGGATAGACCATTTGAGATAAATGGAGACAATGTTCTGAAGAACGGGTGAAGACTTCTTTCCTTTGGATTTCTAGCACTGTTGTCAATCATACAGTCGCTATACTAGCTTAGTGATGCCCGGCCTGACACCGCCACGGACATGGAGAGGTAAAGTGGCATGCCCGGCACGCTTCTTGGTGCCTGCTTTCGCTGCGTTATGTCAGCTGCCTTTGTTTTGCCGGGTCCTAGGGCACTACACTGACTGTGCATCATGCCAATCTACTTTTCAGCAAGCAAACCTGCTCATCGAATGTCAGAGGGCTGTGGTGACAGTTTTTCGAGCGACCAGCTGCAAAATCGAGTGTGTATTGAGTGCACAAGGTGGCTGTCGCAAGCTTGCGAAGCTACGCTTGTGGGGCACCCGGTACGATGCAGACACGGAGTCTCTTTGGGCGAGCTACGAGGTCTGTTGTTGTCGAGATGTATGCTTGCATGCCGCCGGCAGCCACAGTGGGCACAAGCTGAATCTTACAAGAGCATGGTGCTGTCTGCAGAGAGAGACAGAAAAAATAAACGCGTTCGGAACATAATGCCAGTACGACGGGGTCGTGCTCACTCCTCACGCCATCCTTGACATCACCTTGATGTCGTACCATCGCTGTCATCATCTTCACTGTCTTTTGGCCAGCGGACAGAGCCTCAGCATGGCCTCAATCAGGTAATCTCAGGTAGCAAAGGAAGGGTGAGCATCGTGTGCTCGAGGTCACCTTCCCCTGTTTGGGTGAATCTCACGAATGAAGGCCACAAGCTGAGTCCATTTCTGCCAGATGGCATAGATTTTGGAGCGCCTTGGGCCATCTCTTGGCACATCTTGGTGCCGTTGCCAGGTCTGGCTGTCGTTCCTCCTTGCTGCCGTTTGCGGAGGCACACCTCGGAGTTCAAGGGTTCAGCATGAAGGGCGTTCACAAGAAGGCAAGACAGGGGAATTCCCCCGCTCGGGCTCGGGTTCCAAACGGGGGACACGATGCGAGATAAGAAGGCGGCAAGACAAGAACGGGAGACAGAAGGCACCGAAGGCACCTCAGCGGATCCTGCTGTGGTTCCAAAGGGCAGACAAGAAAGGGGACACGCGTAGAAGGTAGACACAAGATGGGAGACCAGAAGGAGAGACACGAAGGAGAGACATGGAAGCATGAAGGGAGGCCATTCGCCCTTACCCGTGAGAGATGTTTGCCTTTGTTTTTCTCTTGGTGCCTCTGAATTCGGAGGCACACGCTACGTGCGTCACAGCGTGCACCAGAAGGGCTTCAGGAGCCCAACGCTTCCAGTCTCCACTCCCCATCACCCTGCTCAGACCCTGGCAAAATTCGCAAAAAGGACTTTGCAGCAGGAGAAGAGCAACCTTCGCCGGCAACTCAGCACCGCAGCATCGATCCTGTCCAGTTTTGCGCCACAGGCTGAATACACTCCGATGTGCAAGAGTGCAGTGCAGGCGACTTTCATCCCAGTGGTTCTTACCTTCTGTAGATATGTGAAGCACTGGGCATTGTGCTAAAGCATGCAACAACTGCACAGGGCAAAACTCGATGCAAGGATCTCCAGAAGCTAATAATTCAGTGCAGTGGGCATCGCCTTGGGCATCCCTTTTGAACAAAGGGGGGCTGCCGTGATGCAAAACTGCACAGAACCCAGCAGTCGAGGCTGGCCGTCCAGCTCCGCGATCGCAGTCGAGTTCTTTGTCATGTCGAAATGCTGGGGCACCTAGTGCAGGGCATTGCAGGGCGCACTAAGTGCGCAAAGAGCAGCACGATGCAGCACCTTTCACAAGGTCCCGATGCCAAGCTGTGCGAAGAGACGTTTCTTCCAGCGCGTGCCCTGTTGTACATCTCACTGCATGTACTCTGATCGCCGCTGCTAGCCAGCAGGTCCTGCAAGACTTGACCGAGCTGGTCACGGTGAACTTCACTTACATCGCAGATGTGACGAGAGAGGCTCTTCAGATGTTTTTTTTACCCGCATCCACTCCCGCACAGTGCAGCCACGGGCCGCAGCAGGAGCCAGCAAGCGTCCGATGCATGCATGGGCCCGAAGAGTGCATGGGCAACTCCCAGCGCCTTTGCGTCCAGAGGGCCGGCAACGCGAGGGCCCCAAAGCCGCGCCGTGTGTTTCGGCCTTACGACTATATGCTTTCCGAGTATCCTGATGGCTCAGGCCACGGACCTCCGCTTTGCCAAGTGTCAGGAGCCATGATGACACGAGTGACCTTTAAAGAGGGCTAGAGGATGGCGAAGAGCGGCTGGGGCTAAGGCGCCAGGGCTTCTTGAAAAGCCACTCTGTGCCTCCTCCTTGCAGGATAGCGGAACCATACCTGGGAATGGCAAGGCCCGGGCCGAGAATCGCGTTCGAGTCGCCCAGCGTATTAAAATCCGTCTGGAAAGTGCCTGCAAAGCCTGCAAACCCGTCCCCTGCAGGCCTGTGCAGTTGCAGCTGGCTTCACAGCAGCAGATCCTCGGCCCGAACACTTATAAGAGCCAACACCAAGTCTCCTCTGAGTTTCTTTTTTTGCTCAGTTTAGACTTTGAGAACATAAATTAAGTTCTGAATGAGAGGAGCTGGAAGACTTGGAGGCGTGCTGGTCCGGGGCACTCGGGCAGGCGCTGCTGAGAGCAGCGGCCTCAAAAGGGTGCTCCATCATCAGGATCTGCAACAGGCTCTGTATAGTAAAGCAGCTGTATAGCAAAGCAGCACAACAGCAGCTATGCTAAGCAGATAAGAAAGAAGCTCAGAAGAGCTCAGAAGTCCACCCCTCTCACGGCGGAAGAGTCCCTATTGTCCGAGTGTGTGGAACAGCCCTCCCTATAGGAGTCGGCGAAGCGCGCCTCGGCTCTCTCTGTGACGACGTCCTGCACGCTCCAAGTGGGAAACAAGGACTCCTCCCTGAGAGTGGAATAAATAGCTAGTGCATGTTAGTGCAGCCTTATATAAAGTTCGTATAAAGCCGTAGCCGGTGACGAGAGATCACAACGATGTCGATGTCTCAGGACTTCTGCATCCATGACGGCGGGTGGAGAAATTGTGGGAGCCTTAGGACAAAGGGCTACTCAGCCAAGAGATGGATGGATGGTGAAACGCGTGGGTGTGGGTGCATGGGTGTGCGGGTGGGTATGTCTGTGTGTGAGTGTGTGTGTGTGTGTGTGTGTGTGTGCGTGCACGTGCTTGCTTTTGTTCCACAACAGTTGGTGCAAAGAGGTGGCAGCTGCGGCTCGGACAAGGCTGCCTGCCTGAAAGCCAAGGCACCTGGGAAGCCTCTTCGAGAGTTTAGAGTCTTCTGCAGACTCACTAATACCTACGCTGCAGGTTTGCGAGCTTTCCGGCCACGCTCGCAAGAGCGAGCTTTGTGCATAAAGCGACTCATATGATTGCGACGCCAAAAGCTGCCCTGCGGATCATGGATCTGGCAATTGAGACCTGGCACGGGGGGCGCGGGACACACAGCTCCTGAGATTGATGCCGTTTGATGAGAGTGCACTGGCTCTCAGGTCCAGGTGGAGAAGCTGCTGAAGCTGCGTGCATTGTGTGCGCAGCCCCGGCTTCATGCAGCGGATTCGTGTCTTGCAAGTTTTCTCCAGCGCTCCGATGTCCTGAGGCCCCTGTGACCTGCGCGCCAAGGCAGGGAGAGTTATCAACGGAACGCCAGTAGACTAACGCTGACAAGATTGACAAGTTGCCGCTGGGGATGATGTTTTTGGTTGCATCAATGAAAGTCGGCCCCATGGTGACATGGTGTTCGATTCGGCTGCGGCTCGAGTGACGAAACCGCAGTGATCGCTACAGACACCATGGCATCTACAGGCAGTTGTTATCACAGACAAAAGCGTTTTAGGCGATTCTTAGGCTGACGCGTGCGTGAGCTCCGGCTCCATCGGCGGCATGGTTTTGAGCGTAGCACGTGCAGCCCTCAATGGAGATGGCCTTGTCATGTCTCTCCTTCACTTCAAGCGTGGCATTTTTGGGGTTTTTCAATGAGAGATGCTAAGCTGGAAACCTGGTTTCCTGGAATGACCTCACGTTATCTCTCTAGCCGCGTGGAAAAGAGAGTCCACTTCTGGGTTATCCATACTGGTATGAATAAGCTTTGTAATACAAGGTTGTGCACTGTCCTCGCGGAATCTTCTAGTGCGAGTTCCTAATTATAAATAGAGCAACTCAGCCTTTCCAAGAGGTGCCCCAGCGGGCGCGACCAGCAGTCGCCGGGTCCTAAGAGCTGCTGCTTTTCTCTCTCTTTTCCTCTTTCTCTCTTTTTTTGCTCTCCCTCTCCCTCTCCCCCTCCTCGCTCTCTTTTTTTTTCCTTCTCTCTCTCTCTCTCTCTCTCTCTCTTTCTGGGTGCCCTTTTATAGAGATGCTTCTTCGTCGAGGCCTGGCCTCGCCCTGGCGCGGCCGGCTGCACTCCGTGTCGCCCCCACCGTGCCGGGGCCCGGTGCCCAATGGGCCCTCGGGATTTCCTCCGACGACGAAGCGCCACTTCCATGAAGCCCGCGCGGAGCAGACCTCCTTGGACTTCACACCGCCACCCAGGACCAAGAGAGCCTCGAGAATTTTGGAGTGTCCAGCTGTCGGACAGACGTAGCACGAGCCGATGACGTTTAGCACCTATAGCAGCCTAGATAGCACTTCTGAAGAGCTCAAGCCCTCAAGCCTCGAGAAGCACTTGTAGGAACCTCTGTGCCTTGACGCCCTCCGTCGTGGCGCCCTGGCTGGTCGTCGACCTCCCAGAGAAGCCAGTGGAGAAAGCCGACAAGGCAGCCAAGCGCCAGGAGCTCGCAGGAAGCCCCAAAGCCGACCGTTCCATGCGCTACGTGGAATCCCGGCTGCAGCCAAGGAGTCATGGAATTGAGAGGCTTGGAGAGTTGTAGCGTGCTGTAGCTTCGCCGAACAAGGAGAAGAAAGAGGTGCAGCGCCATCTGCAGTTTTTCAGCGTTCCGAACCTGGAGATTACCGCCCACAAAGGCCATCTTCGGGCCATGACACCTTTAACAAGACCTTTTCGTTGCAGTTGGACTGCGACCACGATTTAACCCATTTCAGTGGGACCTTCTGGCAGGAGCCCGAGAGCTTCGCCACAGCGCATCTTTGGACGCCGCTGGGCTTTGTCTCCTTTTTTTACTGTTCTCCCTCTCTCTCCCTCTCTCTTTGTGGGGCTCTGGGAGGGGGGGGGAAGAGCCTCTCGAGTGCAATTCAAGGCCTTTGGGATCCCCTCACAGTCACAGGCCGGGATGCCCCTTTCACCTGCTCTTCGGGGGGTGCGTTTTGGGGTGACTTTGATGCTGGTTCTGTGTGTTGGAATTTTGCCATCGCCTCGCAGGCAAAGTCGGGGAAGGCTAAGGTGGCTAAGACTGCTGACGGTTCGATGGAGGAGGCCAGGGCTGAACTGGCCTGACTTGCTTCGGTGGGCCTCGCCGGAGGAAGATGTTTAAATCAGTTTGAAGACATTTGGAGACATGCAGATACAGACAGGACCACCCTGCCCCGGACTTCTATGTGCAGCAACAACGCCCGACACGCGGCCTTCCCGTGAAGGCAGGGATTTCCTAACAGAGAAGACAGACCCTGGTTTTTGCCTCTGTGCCAGGCCACCTCGGCCCGTCTCACAGGAGCCGAAAAGCCATCTCAGAGGTAGTGTTCAGCAGAGGCTGTGGATCATGTATGCCAGCCTCTGAATTAAATTACTATACACATACATCTACATCATGTACATGTAAATATATATACATATATATATATATTATATGTAGACATGCAGTTTAGAGGTGTCAGCATCATTTGGGGGTTCGAGGACCGGCCCTGCGCGCCTTGGCAGAGCTCGAGGCAAGGGCTGGGTGACTTTCGCATTCCGCTTGCTTTCTGTGCGCCCTCATACGCCGTCAGTCAACTGAGAGAAATCCTTTTGTCAGGCGGTGGACGCAGTGGATGCCAAGAGGGAGCGGCCCGACCGGCGGAGGGTGAGCTTCAAGCCATCCAAGGGCTTCAAGACCCTGGTCGTGAAGGAAGAAGGCGATGGCGACCTGAGGCTCAAGCTGCACGTAGCTGCATTGTGTGGCCTTAAAGGGGGGGAAGTGTCGGTGGGTTTCACTTTGGTTCGTGGCCTCGCCGCGACTTGCCACGCATCTCGCATTCCAAGGACAAAGACCAGCGCACAAAGTCTGACGACAACCACAGGAGCATCGCACCAGGCCTCACAAGCATCGTTGGCCTCGAGCAGCTCGATGCACGAAGTGCCTGAAGTGCCTTGCTGGCAATCCGTGACTCACTCACGCCATGCTGGTTCTGCGAGGGTGTCACACATCCCGAAGCCTTTCTTTGAGCTGACTCCCGAGGTCTCACCCATGGCCGCCGAGTCTGACACCTTACCTGAAGCCGCCACTGCAACATGCTGAAGACAAAGCACAGAAGCGACATGAATGGCACCAGGGCTTCAAGTCATTCACACATAGTCACTATTAGTCTTCCCTGTGCACATAGAATCGCCTAAGACCTTCAGACCTTTGCACAGATACAGATGCATATCTTATGTCTCATACTTCTCCATCGCTTACTGTGACATCAGTTCTTCTTTTCTTCGTTTTTTCGCCTGTGTTTTCAGGCGGACCCTCACGCATTTTGCTCCGCATGGAGCTGTTTCAAGTCCTGCTGGCCAGTTCTCAATGGAACACCAGCGTCGTGTGCCACAAGCACACACGCTGCCACCAGCCGTCTGGAGACTCAACAACTGCCTTCAAACCCGCACACGTCTTACGAGCACGCTGACGCGAGAGGAAAAGGGGCGAGGCATGCGCGCTGCCTGAACCCTGAGGTTGCGGACACGTTGGGATCGAAGCAGGTTCCGAGATTCGAAATAGCAGCCGCAACATCTCCCAAAGGATTCATAAACTATTTTGGGGGACGGTGTAAAGCTTGGGGATCCTAGTCTTGCTGTGAAAAAGATCTGCAGGCTATAGCGCCCCAGCGCAAGCGCGGGAGCCTCGACAAAGGCTGTACGCAGCAGAGCCTCAGAGGCAGCACGACGCACAAGCCACTTAAGCTGTGATAAGCTGAAGCTGACATGAGATGTCATCAGCCTGTAAAGTTCGGGGTCCCTTAGGGCCCTGGCCCTTTCCATGCGCAGGCCTGCAAGTTCAAAAAAGCCAGGGCCTCAAAAAGAGCGGATCTGATGGAATTACGACGGGACTGCTGAGACTTGTGCTGGGCATCTTGTATGAGCTGCTCGGATGTGAAGAGTGGGAAAGTTTTGGCTTCCAAATAGGCGCATGGGGGGAATTACAGGGACTTCGATGGCATTCTGCACCAATTCTTCGAACAGCCCCGCAAGGAATAGAAAGTACCACAATAAGGAGAGCAGCTTGAAGAGAGCCCTGCTGAGCAGCCTTCTCTCAAGAAAGGAGATGCATCCGATCCCCGCAAGCAGATCGTTGTGGGACATAATTTTGGACAACATAGCGAAGAATTTTGGGTCAAACCCTCCCTATAGGTACTGTAGGTATACGACACAACAATCCTTATCTGGATTCAACGGTGAAACGGATAAACGGTTTCAACTTACTTGATCAACTGCTGTTCCCTACACGCCACTCGAATAGTTCAAGCAACACTGTTAAGCTTTGAACACAAACATGTCCGAACCTTCTCGAAATCTTTAATTTTCTTAACTCGGACTGTTGACATTTTGAAACCTGCCTTGCAGCCTCGACGCTGCGATGGCTTCGAGGACCTTTCTCTGCAGGCTTCGCCCGCTGGTGATGCTGCAGACGGTTGGCTTCATGGTGGGCAAACGGCTTGGGCCCTGCTTGCCACACTTGCCCGTCTTCTTGCGCCTACTGTCGGCTGAGATGCACCATCCGGTGCGGTCGAGCTGCTGTTCAACTCGCAATGTCATGCAAACCAGATTATGCCGGAGAGCTGTTCTGAATGTGCAGCTTATCTACAAGGATTGATTGAGCTGAATAGGGTGTGCCGATCGGTCGCCGCACACCTGGAAGAAGCCATCCATATCCATCCTCGCTGGAACAAGCCATCCATATCCATCCTCGCGTGCTTCCCAAGTGAAGACGACCGACAAGGCCCTATGAGGCCGTAGAAAGATACTCCTACGTTTACCTTTCAAGCGGGGTTCATTTGGCTGGCGATATGGGACTCCCAGCAAACAGCGGAGGGGATGTTGGACTCGGCCATCGGTGGGTCAGGGGAGTTGCCTGCCAGACCTGTGATGCTCTACAGCACACTCACTGAGGTCTGCAAAAGCCCAATCCGCCAATGGGACATTCTTCAGCCTTAAATTATCATGCCCCGACTCCGGGCTTCGCCACTGGGACCTGATGCTTTGAGGCTACCATTCTTGGAGCTTTGTCAGGTTTCCTAGGCGCTGGCTGAGCCTCGCGATTGTGCTGACGCCTCCCAATCTGCCAAAGTCTTTTTCAAGTTTGACTTCTGCAGGCCTGTCTTTGTGCGGCCTCCGGTTGGGTCGGTCAAGCTTGTTCTCTGTCTTGTCTTCGCGGCCTCCGCGGCGCCTTAAGCATTCTACTCGCCGTCCCTCTATGCAGCGGTCGTTGCGTGTGTACCTAGCCCCGCCTGTGTCATTTCCCCCATCGGGTCTGAAAGCAGCACCTCTCACGGAAAGCGCGGGTGCATGCCCTCCTAAACCTCCCATAGGTTGCAAAGCCCAACTGCCCCAGAGACGAAGTGAAGAGCAATGCAACCCTACGATACGTCCAGGGTGCGATTCGCAGTCTTCGCTGCTCGGTGGACTACTCGCTGTGCTATGCCTTCCGAGGTTTGCAACAATGTTGCAGATCAAAACGCGCGCTCCCCGAGTACGAGTTGAGTGTGTGACATTGTGTGTTCCTGGGCGAATGAGCTTTTAGTACGCGTCATCTCCCGAGCCATTCTCGCGCATCCCACGCCCCCAAGCATCGGAGCAGACACCTGATTCTGCGTTCCCCCGGAGGTTCCCCCACCTTGTTTTTTCACAACTGTTGAACTCCATCAGGCCGCAAGCAACCCGAAGTGCTGCTTCGGGGGAGTGCTGGCACAGCTGAGGCGCAAGGCACTCACAGGCGCCCAGCTGCGCCGTGCTTGACGCCCGCGTGAATGCAACTTCATGTAGCCAGCTGCTTTGCTGTGTCCTGAGCTGAGTTCGACCAGTGGGTGCCCTGCGAAGTCTTCCAGTTTATCCCTTCCTCTACGTGTGCACTCGTACTGGAGGGGACTTTGGTTCTTGAATGCGACCGAATGTGGGGCCGGTCCCAGCCAACCATTCTTTTGCGTAGTCTGCAGCTGAGCTCTGCAGTTCCTCCCTACAGAAATCCATGCCGAGTCAGCACCTGCCTGTTTAATCAGTGTCGTCTTGGGAGCTCCGGAGCTCAACGAAGTGCCAGGCTGCTGATGTCTGTTGCATGCTGGGGCCTCTGAAAGGGTGAGGTAGGAAGCATCGCAGAGGAGACGTTTGGCTGATGGACAGAAGCGACGATGTGCTCTGTGCGGGGCGTGCCAGTGCAATGTATACACATGATGGCATGCGCCGTGTTCCCTTGCAAATGTCGTGGCCCACAACAAGCTGTCTTAACCAGCGCTGCCAGCTTTGCCTATATTCAACAGAGATTCCGCCAGGCGCCTGGCCAAAGATCTCTGCTTGGGAGTCTTCATGAATCTGGCAGTTCGGGCTGTCTCACCTGGCTGCAGGCTCCGGACAGGGAGAGTCCACATGATATTAGGCGATGCTGGCCTTGTGAAGGGGCTTGAAGCGTGCGTGCGCGTGCCCGTCAGCGAATCTGCCTTTGTGCCAAGGTAGACTTGGGGCCAGCCAGGTGGTAGAACCTATTGAAGCACTGCACTGGATTCCACTTCGTGCTGTCTCGCCGGCCCTCAGTAGTGTTGTGTCTTCTGGAGCGTCTTGAAGATCTCCCGGATGCTGAAGGCATAGCGAAGCAGCTGAGCTGAAGAAGCTGAGCTGAAGAAGCTGAGCTGAAGCAGCTGGCGCTTGACCTCATGGAGCCCCGTTGCTTCAAAATGTTTAAGTCCCTGTGCCCGGAGTGTTCTTACAAGAGTGTGCATTCTGACGCAGAGTCGCTAGGTCGCCGGCTGTTTCAACACACACGTGTTCAGCAGGCTATGAGACACTTCTTTCAGTTCTTTGTCGCAGCACGCGGGCCCTGGACAGTGATTCTTCCAATTCCTTCCCTCGATCCCTCTGCGTAGTGACTCTGGTCCTGTTGGTGTCCATCACTGGTCAGCGCAGAGCCGCCCTGGTCAGAAGTTGACCGCAGCAGCATGGGACTGAGGGGGCCCCTGTGCTAGCGGAAATGTGAGAGCTGAACATCTGGCAAATAATGCCTCAAAGGCCCTCTGCTAGCTTGCAGGTGGGGGGGGTTAAAGCGGTGAACCCTGGCCCCGCGTTAAGCCATGCTAAGCCCCTGACTCTCAGTATGTATATTCTTCTTGAAGGGGCCTAAGCCCTTAAATGTTCTTCCCTTTGTGGCCGTTTTGTGTGAAGCGGCCCTCCGACTTCGGCTGCGTCGGCGTCGCTTCGGATCACTGCGAAGGCACTCGGTTCAAGTGCATGGGATTCCAGGGATCCGAGTGTCACTTCCTGACTCCCTGGACACACAAGATGTGCAGCTATTCCGGGCGATCGGCTTGCAAAGATCCTGCTCATTCTGGAAGGCTTAAGGCGTCACTGCACTCCAGTAAAGACGTAAAGACCATGGTGGCAGGGTCCAGGCCGAACTAGTTCCCATGAACCTTGTCAATACTTGTGCTGACATGCCATAGCCAGAGTCCAGCTCACTACTTACAGAGCTGATACGCTCGTTTGATTCGGAATGCCTGTGAAGTACCGACGCTCGCAGACGTTGGTAGGTCAGGTTTTCCAATGCATGCTAGAGTCGAGATGCCCGGGTTGTTGCGCAGCTTTGTCCGGTCACACTTGCCACTTCGACTGAACTACCGAGTTGTTGATATGTTCCCCTCATCGCACACTCCCACGTGCAGGGAGCCCATGATCTTGGTTCTTGTTGCAGGACTTTTGAAAGCTTTTTGGGGTCTTGGACCCATGGTGGTAAAGCAGCCTGCGTGTGCCATGATGAGACGTTCTCAGCGCGCAGGAGAAGGTGAACTTCACTGCACTTCAGTATACTTCACTGCAGATGCCTGGGGCATACAGATGTGTTTACACTCCTTCAACATGTGTTATCCGAGCAAACGGCTTGTTCACATGAGCCTTCTTTGAGTGTTCTTCTCAATTCCCTCAGAGTGGCATTTCGTGGCTGAGAGCCCCAACAATCCCGCAGCTGCTTCAAGGGTCTGTGGCTTGAATCATTGAAGTGTGCGAGAACGAAGTAACGAAGTGTTGCTTCGGTGTGGGCAGTTCTTGACATCTGGTCTG